GCGCCAGTGGGGGTATATCTCCATGAACTTATCCTTTGTGTAGGGTCGCGGTACGCCGTGCGCATCGAGGGTGCCGACGCTAGTGCTGCGCAGCATGCCGCGAAGATGTTGCGATGCAGGTCTGGGGAGGGGATGTTCCTCCGTTCCGAAGACGACGCGCGTGGCTGTTTCGAGCTCCATGTTGGACAGTCCTTCTTCAGGCAGTGCTTCCCGCTCTGCTTCGGCGATGGCGGCAAGGCCACAACCGGCAATCGTGCTCGCTGAGGCTGTGGGCGTATGGCAATCCCTGCAGATGCCATCAGGGTCGGGGTCGTGCAGCGCCAGCTCGCGTGGGTGCGGATGATGTGGCACCCACGGTCTTCCGTCAGGAAGATTCCAGTCATGGTGGTGAATATGTTCGAAGCGCAGGGGAATGAGATCGATGAGTTCTTGCGAATCGCCGCTGCAGTCGCAGATGTCGAAATCGATGATATATACTGCGTTCTCGGAGTGTGCTCTTTTGATCTGCTTGCGCGCTTTGTTCGGCGAGGTGAAGTGAAGCAGGATGTCGCGCGTCTCGGGGTCGGTGCTGAGGTCAACTCCTCGGTCCATGAGTTGCGCCGCCAAGAGAAGATTCAAGCGCAAGTTCTGCACGATCAGCACATCGTTCAGTGTGGTGTGCGTCCTGCTCCCTCGAGCCTTGAGCACCACGATTCCTTGCGCTCTTGCGCGCAGGCATGTGTTGTTCGCCGCGGTGACATATGTCACGGCGGGGGTGGAGACGGCGTTGGATATGTAACGCTCAGAGCCCACCATATGCTGCCCACAACAGCTATCCAGTTACCACGTGTTGTAGTGCCTGTTGCCGTTACGTGCGAGCAACACCAGTCGCGGAGTAACGATATGCGGTGTGTTGAACTTGAGAAATTGCTCACGTGAGATCCAATCGATCAGAGCCGCCCGCGTATCGGGTACGTGCGGGGGGCTTTCAAGTAGCGGGGCAGGGAGATTCCAGTCCTGTTCATCGTCGTCGCTGAAGTCGTGGCGCGTGCTGAACGGATTGTTGTTCGAGAACGCTCTGATTGGGTGGCGTGCTGGCTCAGGTAACGGTAAGCACGCGCAGGGACGACGGGATCCGCTTGTCATCGTCATGTTGCCCATGACGCTGCGGATGGGGGCAGTCTGTGGCGACTGCTGCTGCTGATGCTAAACCGTTGGGTTCAGGTTGCGCATTGGGGGCTGGTGCCCGTGGGCTTGACGCGTGTCGTTTCGTGCGTCTTGTCGGCCGGACCAGTTGCTCGGATTGGCCTGACGAGGGCGAGATCGGAATTTGCATCGATCTGCCAGGTGCCCAAAGTTTCTGCAAATCTTGCAGTAAAGGCGCCGTTGCCGTCGCTCCTCTATGTTGTCGGCGTAGAAAGCGAGGCGTTCGCGGTCTCGTCGCGGTGCTGGTCGCTGCTGGTCCATATCCCTCTGTCCGACGAGAAGAGTGGCGCATAGGGCGGCCTCCAAGATAACCCCCTGCTGTCAGAGAAGCGCCTTACAGGGCCGTCACTCTGGGCCGAGCCTTTGAAGCACGATATTGACGAAAATATCTCTGAGATCGTGCTTTCCAGTTTCGCGATTTGATCGCGTAAGCTCCGATAGTGGTTGATGTAGCTGTTGGCCTTCTCCTCTGGGGCCATTTTAGTCTCCAGTAGTTGCTGGAGAAGGCGGCTCGATGAAACCGAATCTTTCGGTTGATACACGCCGTTCAGGTGGCGCCAAGCGTCGAGGGCTAGAGCAGGTGAAGTCTTGTACGATCGAATGCTCAACCGGTGCACCGGCGACATGTTCCGCAGGAGGACGCCGTACGCCATCAATGAATCGTTGTAATACTGCGCCCGGGCGTCAGCAGTATCCTCAGCGGGTCCCGAGTAGCTCCCGTCGAAATAATGGAATATCTGCGCGTTTTGCAGCAGTAGGTCCAGCTCGAAGCTCTACGTATAGAAGTCTCTGCCGTCAAAGCACACACTTGTCTTTATTTTTTATATGCTCAAAAACCTTGATTGCGCAGAGATAATTGCTTCTTCGCTGGGACGGGGAGTTTTGGGGGTTGAGCCATTTGTGTCGAGGGAGAAGGTGTGGGGGGCGGTATTGTGGCCGTTCGAGGCCTGTTGAGAGGGTTGGGATGTAGTTCCCGCGTCGCCATCCCGCAATGTTTGGAGTCCTTGCTCCAAGCTGGTGAGTCGTTGAAGCAATTGTGCGAGGACGACGGTTCCAATCGTCGTCGTTTCCTCGCTTGTCGCAACCGGGTTGTGCCAGAATCCCAACCATTAGACCACTGGGATAAAATGGTTTGTTAAGTAGCGGGTCAGTGCACCCATAACTCCCCAGGACAACGAGCCGGTAACCCTTCCCTAGGATCAATCGGGGATCACCAGTGGACCTCTGACACCCCCCCGCACTGGGATTCGAGCCCGAGACCTTCGCTCTGATACCATGTCAGAATCCCAACTACTAGACCACTGGGATAAAAGGGCTTGCTAAGTAGCGAGTCAGTGCGCCCATAACCCCCCCAGGACATCGAGCCTGTATCCCTTCCCTAGGATCAATCGGGGATCATCAGTGGACCTCTGACAGGTTGGGTTGCGCTTCAGCCGTCAGATTCGTCTGACCTCCAGATCCTCCAGCCATAGTCACACGCGAGCGTGTGCCGGACGTCGCCGAAGATTTCGCTGATGGCAGTGCGACGGATTCCCGAGTCGCTCTCATACCATGCTGCGATCAGACGTTTATCGTTCCTAGGATCACCTCATGAAGGTTCGCACACGTCTGAGTAGTGGTGGTGGGCCCTTGACCTCAATAGCAGAGTGAATGTAAAATGTTTGAGATGATAAAAACATTCAAATACATGAATGTAAATAAGAGTACAAGGGAATTCGAATCGACCTAGGCTAGCCATGTACTCTAAGGGGTAGATTCCCTTATTGCAGCGAAACCCAACTGTGCGATTCCATACGGTTACAAAACTGTCAGGGCAGAATCCTCGCCACTGCTACTGCCTGATGCTGTCTGCCCGACGGTCCAAATCCTTTCGTAACCGTACGACGCTTCGCGTCACTTCCGCCTCTTCGTCTTCAGAGTCGGTATTGTGTGCTTCGATTGCTGCAGTTAGGAGTGCACAGTAATGCTTCACCAATTACTAATCGTAACAAGTTTTGCTTGGATATCAACATTCCAGCTATGAGTATATGAAGTGAAAAAAACAACTATTTGACTAGGAATCCTAGAAACATGCTCTCACATGCTCAAAATTGTTGATAAAATGTTGATTTGATTAGATAGTTTTAATGCAGCCGTTTCAGCTACAGCGGTTATAGCACTGACCTTTTTGTTTAAACAAATACTGGTATGCTAGTATTTTGCTTCTATAAAAGGAGGTTTTACCAGGGATAGACCAGTGGATGCCAGTTGGCTATTGTGGGGAGTGTGGGAGCGGGTTCCCCCATACTCGCAACAATGTTGTCCTATTCTTCATGTCAAACGCATGGAGTGCTGTCCTCCCAACCGCCACAAACTCTCAACTCTACGCTGTCATGCCTCCACTCTTGAAAGCCTTTTGGCTGAATGTGAGCTGGTAAGTGCTTTGAGGTGGCACTTACGCTGGTTACCTGTTTCTTCAGGTGAAATCAGGTGTTCTTTTCCATCCCACCCACACTGCAAGCTCCACCCTCGCGGCGCACACGGTGCTGAAATTCCGGTTCACGCACCGCGTGGCGCAAAATCCAGGCTACACAACATTTGATGCCCTCGGTCCCCCCACCACACTTGCCATTTTCGTGAACCACTTTTCACATGCATCTGCCCATATTGAGCTCAGCGAAGTTCAGCTAGGGGGATTACTACATTTTTCTGGTGCTAGGGCTGTCCGTCGCGCCCCGCGACCGCGTGGTCGGTGTTTCGTTCCCTAGGTCATTTTATTGGTCTAAATACCAATCCGTGCGACTTTAGCAGCATATACCTTCTCGGACTCCAGCATCAGACACGCAGCCTTCGCCGCATTTCATGCACGAAAAGCCAACACCCAGCCAGCAGCCATGAACCAGCAAAGAAGAGCCCGCCTTATCTCGAGAGCCGCAGTTACCTTGTCGCTTCTACTCCTCTCGATGACTCTATTTAAGCAGAACTCGCATGATCGCGCACACGCAGCGTCGGTACTTCCCGGACAGACCGTCATAGCCAGCGACAGTCGACCGCACCCACTACAATCAATCTTTACCGCCCCGCTTCGCGCTACACGACGACCGTTGCGAGACTCTCTCAGAGTCCGAAGCCCCGAGGTATCCGATGACGCACAGCGTGAGAGGCGGGAAGGGGCCGAGGCCGTGACGCAGCTGCAAGCTCCCCTGGAAGGTGCCTCCCTCGAATCGTTGCTTGTTCAGCCGCTTTTCGAGCCGCGTGATCCGCAGCGCCGAACCGAGTCGCCCGGCTCGGCAATGTCCGTCTGCCCGACCTTCCAACCAGGTTCGGGGGGCCTAAGCGAAGTTTCGGCGTGCAAGTGGTCGGCACCTGCGGAGGCTAGAGAGGGTTCGCTTCCCGTCGCGAATGATCTCGCAACATTCGCCTCGCGGTTTCGCGAAGACGAAAAGTTGCAGTCGCGAACGGAATGTCGCCAGCGGCCCTGGCTATGGCCCTGGCCGTTGCTACACGTGGGCGACGTCTGCGAAGGGGAGGGTGAAAACGGTGGCTCAGAGGAGCCAATTGACTATGAGGTTCCCCCGAGTGTAACAGACGAGACGGGTAACAGCGCAATCCTTCTTTTTCGCGACGTCTTCGTCAACGGGAGGGGCGTCGTCTTCAATGCGAGCCACGTGTTCGAGTTCAGCGCCTGCGGCAGCGGCGCTGGCGGGGAGTGGAAAACGCGGACAGAAAAACAGTCTATAGCGGAGATGTCTTACCCTGCAGGAACCGTTACTAGTGTTCACGAGCATTTAATCAACTAGCTACCTTACGAGGAGGCCGACGGGTGGGCGGAGCAGCTGGCAGAAGCGGATGAATCGACGCAGGCGGAAGGGGGGAGTGACGGCGGAGCAAGCGCGTGGGCGGAAAAGGTGCGCGCGGTGGGCGGAAGCGGGAAGGAGAGGCAGCTGGCGCGGCTGCTGCCGGTGCTGTTCCTGGTGTCGTCATCTCTCATGCCCACTGCGCGCCGATACCCGCTGCTGCTGCGCGATCGACGGGTGAGCCTAAGCTTAATTCACGGGGATACTAGCGCCCAGTATAATCAGATCATATCGCCACAGACCGCATGCTCATCGAAGCATGATTGAATCGCTATCAGCTCACAAGACATTCCGCCTCACTGTCGCCTCTCCGCTAATTCGTCTCTCCTCCCTGTTTCTTCCTCTCCCCCTCTTTCCCTCGAATGTCTGCTCCCTTCCCCCAGTTGCTACACCACGTGCGCACCGGGCTGTTCGGAGTTGACCTCGCCGCGCTCTCCATCCCCCTGGACGCCACGTCAGCTTATTCCACGTCAGCAGCTGCGCGTCCGCACCTGTTCTTCTCGAAGAAGCTCTACCTCCCGCTACACCCGGACTCCCTCTGCGGATTCGCCGCTTCTCCCCGCCCCCGCTCCCCCGACCCCCTCTGGCGCACCCTCCGCGCGCACCACCTCCTCCCCCCAAACGGCTTGCCGATCCTCAACCCGAACTGGGTGCCTCGGCTGCCGAACCAGCACCTGAACCTGCAGGCTCGGCCGCACATGATGGTTGGGGAGGCACTGCGTCGGGATTGGGTGGTGGTGGTGTCGCTTGTTTGGAGTGCGCACGGGGGGAGGGAAGGCCAGGGGGTGGCAGGGGGGGAGGATATCGGATTGGGGGAGGGGGAGCTCGCGGAAGGGGGAGCAGGCGGAGGGGAGGGCGTGGAAGGTGACAATAAGGAGGCGGCTGACGCGATGAACCGTGTGATTGTAATGATGCGGGAGCTCTTCGGCGAGGCGCGAGTGGTGGTATACGACGAGCACGTGCCGCTACTTCAGGCTAAGGAGCTCTTTTCCCGCGCGATCCTGTTCGTCGGTCCCACGTCGCCCGCGCTTTCGGCTCTTATCTTCATGCCCTTCAACTCCACGCTCATCGAAATCCTCCCTCGCACCGTCGCCATGGCAGCTGCGTCCATCCCTGTTGTCGGCCAGCAGCGGGCTGCCACGTGGCACTTCCACCTCGCTTCCCGCCTCGGGATCCATCACTTTCTCTCAGCCTGCGATCCGACTAAGGTGAACTGGCATTCTCAGGAGCGCTGCCACGTGGACGAGGTGTACGGTACAGTCACCGCGATGATCCGTAACAACCCTACACTCCACACGTTCACCGGGTTACCACCCGTCTCCTTTCCACCAGACGAGCCGGCCAGCCTCGGCGACTTCCGAAGCAGGATCCCAGGATCGAGGCTCAGGCCCGGAACAGGCGAGGCGGCGGCGTTCAAGCAGTGGATGAGCTGCGTGGCGGAGCGCGGCGAGTGGCGGTACAACGCGACGCCTAGGGTCCTACCGTGGGAGGAGAAACAGGTGCAGAGCGCGATAACCGGCACATGAAGCAGGGCGGAGTGGCAGGAGTCCACGCGGACAAAATAGCTAACTCGGGATGGGATCCTGCTGCTGCTGCAGCTGCGTGGAAGGTTCGAGAGAGCCTGAAATACCAGTGGGTGGTGCCTCGGGAAAAATGTGCTGGAGTTATCGGGGGGAGGCAGGCGGTGGTGGGGAGGGAGGGCGTGCAGGGGGAGATGTTTTCGAGGTTCGACGGGCGCGCGCTTTGCGAGCTGGCCGCGCGGCGGAAGGATGGGCTGCGGATTGCTTTTATAGGGGATTCGCTGACGCGGGAGCATCACTATTCGTTTATGAATAACATCATTAAGCATATCCCGAAGCCTGCTGTGGGGACTATAGTGAAGCGGAAATGTCTCGAGTGGATTGACGACACAGTAACGGTTACTTGCGCTGGTTACCGCATTGAGGGGTGCCCGAAACTGGAGATACACTATGTGGCAACAACTCGACTGATGCGTGTACAGGAGGAGAAGCTAGAACGGGCGGCATGGCTCCACGTGCCATGGCAGCAAGTCGAGGGAATCAGAAACTCCCATGTGCTTATAATGAATCGGGGCGCGCTCTACAAGCCAGCAGTGAAGGTTGTGAAGGCAGTCAGACGAATCTTCCGTTTCCTTCGCCATAATCACCCCGACAAACTCCTTATATACCGCACTACACCTCCCGGGCACTTCAACTGCCTGAACCACACCCGGCCAATCACAGAGCGGCAGGACAGAGCAGCATTACCATTCAGATGGGGGGAATTCAAGGAGCAGAATGAAATGGTGAGAGAGATAGTGGAGGATGCGGGAGGGTTGTTCATGGATGTGGATCCTATGATGGCTCTGCGGCCGGATGGGCATAGAGGGGTGGTTGCTAAGGATAAGGTCGACTGCCTGCACTACTGCCTGCCAGGCCCGGAAGACACCTGGTCTGAGTTCCTGTACAACATCATCCAGAGGCTCGTGCCTGTCCAGTGAGCTTCCGAAGTGATCATCGTGGGGTGCCAGCCAGGCTTCCAAGACACGTGGCCTGAGTTCCTGTACAACATCATCCTGAGGCTCGTCCCTGTCCAGTGAGCTCTTACTGAGGTGCCTCAGAATGTGGTCGGTACAGGAGAGTGAGGGGATGCCCCCTACCAGACTGGTGGATTCAGAGAGGAGAATTGGAGGGGATGAGTGAATTGTGGTACGGTAAGGGCGGATGGGGAAAGGTGGTATGGTGACATTAGCTGCCTGTGTTTGATTGGAGGCTCGTTGTGTTGGAGGTTGCCCTCCTGTTCAGGTGCCATTTTATGGGCTTCAGAATAAGCAGCGCAGCTGGAAATGTGCAGGTGGGAAGATGCAGCTGTGCCAGAATAAGGACGCAGCTTGGTGTCCAGACTTAGTAATAATGATGCAGTTCCTGCAATTTGAATCAAGCTGGATAACGGTGACCATTGACAAGTGAAAAGGGAACATTGGAAAGTTGCTAGTTCATCCAGGTTACCCTTTTTGGCTGCGTGGGATTGGAGGGAAGACATAGAAATGAATGAAGAGAATCACATATTCTATTTATTGATCATTCTTAAAACCCGCAGGCCAAGAAGGCCAAATTTGGTTCATCCTTCCTAGCGTTGGTTGGATGTCCCAAAAATGCCTGTGATCATTCCCGAATTCTAGACCTCGTCCAACATTTCGGACACTCCTATTGGTTCGCAGGCCTTTTGCGTTTTCACTCCCAACCAACCTTCCTAAGGTTGAAATTCTTGGCCTGCGGGTTTTAAGCTGTCCTACACTCTGACCACTGACACATGTGGAAGGTGTGTGCAAAGCGAAAGGGAAGTGGATGGAGGGGAAGAATTGATTTCAGTTGATCAAGGAAAGGAAAGTGTGACACAACTGATCATCCGTACAACACAAAACCTGATTGCACCCTTTAGCACCGCAAACACCGTTAGCGTCAGCACGCTTCGCTCTGCAGCCAAATTGCGGCCTGTGCTCCACCCTACCACATTCCACACGCAGCCTGCGGCCTGCTGCGCGCCTGACAGATTTTAGCTAGGTCGTGGGGTGGTAACGCGGCACGATCGAGGCGTTAGTTGAACTTCGGCTTGTGCCAGTCTCGAATGGCGGGAAAACACAGAGGCTTTGAGATTATCACGGATAACTCGTCAGCATGACACGTGGATGCGAGCGATTGGTCACGTCTCTTACGCGTCGCGTTGCCCGTCGCGCGCAGTACGGAGGCGGCTCGCGTGAGCTTACCTCGTCCGCTGTATCTGCGGTTTCCAGTTTTCGTGCCACGTGGCAGCAGCATCAGATCTGTCAACCTCGCCAAATTCTCGCGCCGAGCCCCTGGACGGTACCTGATTCAGATCTCGCCTTACGTGGCAAAACCACTAGTAGTAGTAACGGTATCCGTGGTAATAGTAGCAATAGTGACATCTACGCATGTGACTATCGCCAATTGCCTGTTGCCACGTGGTGCTCACAACACGTAGGTCAGCCAATATCAACTTCTCCTGTTGCCACGTGGCGTGGTGGTGATGGGTCCCACCCAGCGAAGTTTCAGCACACCTTCGTTCCGCCGCCAGCGGTTCCCCCATCGGCGGGGTTCGCGTTCGTTCCGCGCTTCACAGCTCTCCGCGGAGAATGGCCCTCTCCCTCCCCGCTGCCCGCCACTCAGCCCTCCGCGCACGCAGCAGCGCGGAGGGGGAAGGAGGGCGGGGGAAGCAGAAGGCAGAGCAGGGGGAAGGGTGGGTCTGTAGGGGCGGAAGGAGCAGTGGCAGGGGCGGCAAGAGGGGAGGGTGAGCAGGCATCAATTGGAGATGAAGAGGCTTATCTGGAGGATGGAGCGTGGGAGGAAGGCAATAGAGAGGAGGATGAAGACGTGGATGTCCACGCGGATTCAGGCCGTCATGGGACACGGTAGGTAGGCCATTGTGTGACGCCCACCCCACTCCCCCCTCGCCCGACCCTCATCCGCGCCGGCTGCTGCGCGCCAAGCTGCATGCATGCTCCCATCCTCCCCCCCCCCCCCCTTCTCACCCCTCCTTTCACCTCTGCTTCCTGCTTCCCACCTCCACCTCCCCCTTTCCCCGCCCGCGCCAGCATGCTGGTTGGTAGTGCAGCCGCGCCCCCATCCGTGCTGCCTGCTGCGCGCCAAGCTGCTTGCACACACGCTCCCCTTGCTTCCCCTCTCACCTCTGCTTTCTGCATCCCCCCTCCCACCTCCCCCCTCCCCCCTCGGGCACAGGATGCTTGTGGTGCAGCAGTGCCCCCATCCGCGCTGCCTGCTGCGCGCCAAGCTGCATGCGCACTTCCTGCCCCCTCCTCATCACCTCTGCTTCCTGCTTCCTCTCTCCCCCTTCCCCGCCCCCCGCCCCCCAGCATGCTAGTAGTGCAGCCGCGCCCCCATCCGCGCTGGCTGCTGCGCGCCAAGCTGGGGGAGGCGCTGCGATTGGTGGACTCGCTCACAGGCACGGACAGCCAATGGGAGATGGAGCAGCGCTCGTGGGGGGGCGCAGGGGGAGGGGAGGCGGCGGATGCAGTGTGGTGGGGCCAGGACTCACAGCAGCGGCGGGGAGGAGCGAGAGAGTGGCAGGGGGAAGGAGCGCAGTGGCAGGGAGAAGGGGAGCAGTGGCGGCAAGGGGAAGAGGCTGAGGCTGAGTGGAGAAGGCGGAGTGAGGAGAGGGGGATGCGTGGGAATGGGGTGGAGGGAAGAGGGCGGAGTGGGGATGGCGTGGAGGGGTTTGGGTTTCCGCCCCCAGGAGGGGGTCACCCTTGGGTGGTGGTGCACAGCAGAGGGCGGGGGATACGCGCAGGTATGGGGGATGTGGTTGGGGGGGCATGGCTTGGAGAGATTGGGGTTTGGGTTTGGGTTTGGGTTTGGGTTTGGGTTTGGGTTTGGGTTTGGGCCATCCGTGGGTAGTGGTGCACAGCAGAGGGCGGGAGATACGCGCAGGTACGGTGGATCCGTGGGGAATCCGTCTGACTTGAGAAAGAATCGCATGTTCCGTGACCTCAAATTTTGAAATGTTGCGATTTTGCAGAGAGGTACCACAACACAATGAATTGTCTTGTCAGTCATCTCAAAGTGAATCACAGTGTATCACGCCAAAGAAAAGGAAAAGGAAAAGAAAAGAAAAGAAAAGAAAAGAAACACTCCACGGTTGCACGGCTGGTCCGTGCCGTGCTTGCATTGCATGGCTCCTCCATTGCATTGCATGGCTCCTCCATTGCATTGCATGGCTTCTCCATTGCATTGCATGGCTCCTCCATTGCATTGCATGGCTCCTCCATTGCATTGCATGGCTTCTCCATTGCATTGCATGGCTCCTCCATTGCATTGCATGGCTCCTCCTTTGCATTGCATGGCTCCTCCTTTGCATTGCATGGCTCCTCCATTGCATTGCATGGCTTCTCCATTGCATTGCATGGCTCCTCCATTGCATTGCATGGCTCCTCCTTTGCATTGCATGGCTCCTCCTTTGCATTGCATGGCTCCTCCTTTGCATTGCATGGCTCCTCCTTTGCATTGCATGGCTCCTCCTTTGCATTGCATGGCTCCTCCTTTGCATTGCATGGCTCCTCCTTTGCATTGCATGGCTCCTCCTTTGCATTGCATGGCTCCTCCTTTGCATTGCATGGCTCCTCCTTTGCATTGCATGGCTCCTCCTTTGCATTCCATTTGGCATGCTGTGAGCCTGGTTTTTTTTAGCCACTTTTTTTGTTTTCGTTTCCTTTTCTTTTCAAAATACCTCCCACTCTTCTCACCTCCTCCCTCCCCCCTTGCTGATGCTGTCTTTCAGGGTCGTTCTTCGGCAGTGGCATGATGGAGAGCATTGCTGCTCATGTGCATGCTTCGCACACCATGGTATGCTACGATGTGCACTTCACATCACCTGAGATGCAGTGAATGTGGACAGGCTCACTCGCTTGCACTTTATGTCAGCTGAAATGGAGTCAATGTGGACAGGCTCACTCGCCTGCGCATGTGTCTATGGACAGTCACACACTCTCTCTCGTTCATTTACACTTGCACTTGTTGAGAAAGTGCGTAAATCGGGTGAGTGGGACGTTATGAGGGAGGGAGCATGCACATGTGCTGCAATGTACGAGCATCTACGTACCTGCTGAACTCTCTTCTTCCTCTCAATGTCTGCAGTATTGGGTATGGATGCTTCTTTATCTGAAGCACCCTGGATTCATTTGTGTTTAATATCGATGTATTTTCTCACCGTCCACCGTACCAACCAGGGTGTACCAGTGGAGGCCGTATTCGTGAATGCTACTCTCTCAGGCGTGCAGCAGCGGAATCTCGAGGTGAGAGGAGAGGGTGAAGGGGGTGGGGGATGAGAGAGAGAGAGGAGAATCAGGAGAGGAGGTGGCGCATCAACAGGAGAGAGGAACCAACCGCAGACAGCAGCGCAGAGCCCAGCCCCCACCGGACCAAGCCCTATCTGCGTCCCAGCTGGCCTCGCGGGAGGATCTTTTCCAGATCGCGATGACCTGGGACCTTACGCTCCTAACATCCATCACCCACCAACCAATCGTCCGCCGACTGCCGCCGCAGATCCTCAGCGACTACTCCACCTGTATGCTGGCTGCCTTACTACGGATCTCAAAGCTGCCTAATTGCGCGGGAGCGTGGCGGGTCCTCATGTTCCTGCCACGTCTCACGCTAAGACTTAGCCGGAGATCCAGCTCTAGGTGGAAACTGCTGCGGGCACAGATGCATCTATTCCGATGTGGACACTGGACCCAGCTGTACACCGAATACTTGGGGTCAATGCACCTGGCCGAACCACCTCAGCACCAACGTGACCCGCTGGGAATCTGCTCACGTGCGGAGGGGTTGGTGAAAAGGGGTAACCTGCGAAAGGCGTTAGCGGCCCTTCAACCCTCGCCATCAGCACCGGCGACATTCGCGACACTGCAGCAGCTGGAATCGAAACACCCCCAACCCCAAAATGACCTGCCCGACTGGGTCCACTCCTACACGACACCCACACAATTTTCAACCACCCTGGAAAGCTTTTCGGACGTCCTCGGGGAATGCCCCAGGGGAATTGGGGCTGGCCCATCGGGGTCAACCTTCGAACACTACCGCGATCCAGCGCTAAGTAACATCGAGGTACTAGGGCACCTCCACTCCGCCGTTAAACACCTTCTCTCGACAAACCTTTCCACCGAGGTTGCAGCCCTACTCGCCCCGTCCCGCCTTATAGCCTTCGCCAAACCAGGGGGGGGGGTACGCCCAATCGCGATTGGAGAAACATTGCTTAGGCTGGCGGCGAAAGTGGCACTCTCAGACCTGCAAGGAGAAACGCGAAAATTTTTCCTACCTCAGCAATTTGGCATGGCAGTCCCGGGAGGTGCTGAGTTCGTCATCCATGCAGTCAGAGACCTCACCACCGTGCAGCCCTCCAGCCTAGTCCTCCAACTCGACATTGAGAACGCGTTCAACTCAGTCGAGAGGAGCGCGTTCTTCAACGCACTTATCGGCTCCCCGCTAGCCCCCCTCATCCCCTTCACACGCTCTTTCTACGCATGAGCATGAGCGCTGCTGCTGGACCCATGCTTCAATTCCACGGCACTCACCAGCGGAAGAGGAGTCGCACAGGGGGATCCCCTCGCACCCCTGCTACTCGCGGCGTCTATCCAGCAGCACCTCAGGCACGTGGCAGCGGAGCACCCGGAAGTCACCGTCCTCGCGTACGCAGACGACATAACCATGATTGGACCCGCGACGGCGACGCTAGACGCGCTAAGGGAGCTCACGCCGCTACTAGCACAGGATGGCCTCACCTGCAACTTTATGAAGTCGTCGGCGTGGTCCTCCATGCCGCTTGGAGGTGTCGTGCTCCCTGAAGGCCTCCCCCACACCCACGAGGGGGTACGGGTGTTGGGAAGTCCTGTGGGGTCGCAGAGCTTCTGCTCTGCCTTTGTCCGCAGTACACTGACAGACGCGGCAGCCCCCTTGGGTTCCCTGGCGTCCATCCACCCACAACATGCCCTCCTGCTACTGTCCCGTTGCATCAGCCGCAGAATCGGCTACCTGCTACGCACTACCCCAGCAGACGTCTTACCCCTCTCGGAATGGCACACATGGTGCTCCGAACTACTGCACACGGCCTTGACCGCCGCCAGCATTCAACCGCCACGCCGAGAAGCCGAGTTCAACTTCCTGCTCCGACAAGCAACTCTTCCAGTCGCCCTGGGCGGGCTGGGACTTACAGACCCCACAACAGAAGCAGCACCGGCCTACCTGGCATCAACGACGGAGGCGCTACGACTGCTCCACTCCCTTGACCTACCAGCAACCGCGGCACTGGGGGCCAACAACAACACCCTGCAGCCGTCCGCAGCGCACTCAGTAACCATCCAGGACATGGAGGGGCGCCTGCCACCGCTGGCGCTACAAAACCTCCGGGAGGAGCAGCAAACCCCGTCCCAAGACCAGCTGCAACGCGCCCTCTCTCAGGAGGTGCACGCGGCAAAGGCCGACGCCTTGACAGAGGAGTCACGCACCATCCAGTCAGCCCCCGAGATGGGTCACTCACTCCGCCTCATCAGCCTGAGAGGGGAGGGAGCGGGAGCATGGCTGCAGGCCCTACCTTTGACCCCGGACCTTTGCTTCTCACCGGGACAATTCCGAGCAGCCCTGGCCTTCCGCATGGGCATCCGACAGAATGTACCCACTGTGTGCGAGTGTGGAGAACTCGTAGCCGACTGCAGCCTACCCAACCACCTACTCCGCTGCAGCACAGGCCCCGACAGGACACGCACACACAACCAGCTAGCTTTTGCCGTGGCTAAAATGGCAAGGGAAGCACAGCTGGTGGTATACCTGGAGAACGCCATGTACTCACCGCCGGATGACCCGAAGAAAGCCGATGTGATTGTACGCGACCCGGACAGTGGAGAGACTTGGATCACAGACACCACTATCACAGACCCCGTGCTGCAGAACCGGGACCCCACAGCCCGCAAACCCCCCGGCTGGGCTGCTAGAGAGGCACAGAGGCGGAAGGAGAGGGAGTACTACCGACACACGGAACACGTGGTGTTCTGCGCCCTAGCCGTCGAGACCTACGGGGCAAACGCGCCCACCACGACTGCGTTCCTGAAGCTGCTGGCCACAGCAGCAGCTAGGAACCGGTTCAGGGCCAACCCCCTGGCGAAATCGGCCAAGAAGATGGCCTGCCACTTCAGCCAGCGCTGGTCAGTGGCCCTCCAGCGCTCCCAGGCTAATGCCCTGCACACCAAGGCCAGGGCTGGGATCGAGGCAGCGCACCCCCAGATGGCAGCGGACCCCTGGCCGCTGCACCTGGGGGACATCCTCCACACGCTGGAGGGCTAGAGGGTCACTCAGGGGGGGGGGTGAAGAGTGGTAAGTTTTGGGGCTTAAGGGATAGAGGTTATCATGGATAGCACCGCATGTTTGTACCCCTGCTGAATTAATACAAAGGACCGTTTGAGAGGAGAATGGCATATCAGAAGAGGCACTAATGGTGAATGCTACTCTCATGCGTGCGAGGTGACTTTTGAGTCGACTGAGAAGTCACCTCGCTACTCTCATGCGTGCAGCAACGCAACCTGGAGAGGAGAGGAAAGAGGAGAGAAGGGGTGGGGAGGGTGGGGAGAGGGTTGTTGGAAGGGGCGGGGGAGGCGGGGAGCGAGAGGGGAAGGGCGTTCTAGTGGAGGTGGTATTGTTGAGAGGTGAGAGGAGAGGGGAGCGGGGTGGGGGAGGCGGGTGAGAATGGGAGAGAAGGGTTTCTTGTCGATGGGTTCTCTGTCCTGCTCTTTGGTGCTCGTCCCAACAGCTGGCCCTTTTCCTCAATTCCTCCCCCTTTGTTTCCTCTTCCTTCCCCCTCTTTCACCACCTGCTCCCCTCAAGGCCGCAAGGGGTCTGCCTGTGGTGGACAGAGTGGGGCTGATAATTGAGATCTTTGGTGCTCATGCCAACAGCTGATCGTTCCTCACTCTTTCCCCCCATTCCTTCTCTCTTCCTTTCCCCCTTTCGCCGCTTCTCCTTCCCACCCCGTCCTTTGCAAGGCCGTGTGGGGTCTGCCAGTGGTGGACAGAGTGGGCTTGATCATCGAATCTTTCTGTGCTCGGGCCAACAGCTAATCCTTCGAGTTGACTTTTGAGTCGACTCAAAAGTCAACTCAGGCCAACAGCTAATCCTTCCCCACAATTCCTCCCCCTTTCTTTCCGTCCTCCCTTCCCCCCTGCACTCCACCCAACCCAAATTCTGCCTTGCAAGGCTGCATGGGGTCTGCCTGTGGTGGACAGGGTAGGGTTGATCATTGAGATTTTCGGTGCTCGCGCCAACACACGAGAGGCCAAGCTGCAGGTGTGTTGGGTTGATTTTGGTTGGTTTGGGTTGGTTTGGGCTGGTTGGGCTGGTTTGGGCTGGTTTGGGTTGGGTTGGGTTGGGTTGGGTTGGGTTGGGTTGGGTTGGGTTGGGTTGCTGACTCGGTCGTCAAAGGGTTGATTGATTGATGCACAACACAAATGTGTTTACCTTCCCGTTTTGCTGCCACTGTGGATGTAAACATAATGTCTTCATAATGTATCTTATCCATTATGCGAAAAAAAAAAAAAAAGCGAAAAGAAGAGGACACCATCCCATCCCATTCCCCCATTCGCTCCCCTCCCTCCTACTCCCCCACTTCTCTTTCATTTCCCTCCCTCCTTTCCGAACCTCAGGTGGAGATGGCAGGTTTGGAATATCAGCGCAGCCGGCTGGTTCGGCAGCGAGGCTCGGGGGGACGGAGGCTGGGGTTTGGTTCGGGAGGGGAGCAGCAGGTGGTGAGTGCGCGAGGGAGGGCGGCAGGCGGGCGGGGATTTTTGGCCGGAGCAGGGGAGAGCGAGCTGCAGCTGCAGAGGCGTCGGTAAGAGATAAAGGGTGAAAGAGGGGGAACGGGGCGTTGTAGGTTTGGGAAAGGGAGAATGAATGAGGGGGTTGCTGGTCGGAGCAGGGGAGAGCGAGCTGCAGTTGCAGAGACGACGGTGAGGGGGGGGTGAAATTAGGTGCATAACGGGAATGGCGGCAGGCGGGCGGGAAATTTTGGCCGGAGCAGGGGAGAGCGAGCTTAAAGCGGCGGTCTACATTCATCGACGTATTTTTTTTAGGTTATTTCAAGTGCACACCCAACCCAACGAGGCAAGCTGATTTGCTAGCGAATGACCCACTTCCAGAATCAGCAGGTGCGAAGGAGTCAAACGGGACTAGCAAATTCCGCCAGTTTCGTGAGGACCAGCGGTTGGGAAAACAATAATTGGCGACTCTGCGAACATTTCGTGAGGTTGGGGTGAGGAGGGATGGGCGAAATTGAGCAGCCAATCCAGAACAGGGGTTTTTTCAGGCGGGGGTTGTGTTGTCACTAACCGGGAATCGCACCTCGCCACTGAAGCTGAGGGCTACCTGGTTTTCAAGTGATAAACCATAGCCTCTCCCGCCAGGTATGTAGGCGACAGCTTTAAGCTGCAGACGACGGTGGGAGTGAAAAGGATTGAAAGGGGGAATGGGGGAGAGTTGGAGTGGGGGTTTGTAGGTTTGGGGAAGGGAGAATGAGGGGGTTGCTGGCCGGAGCAAGGGAGAGCGAGCTGCAGATGCAGCGACGACGGTGAGAGGGAAAGCAGATCGGGGATGGAATAGGTAGGGGTGTTTGGGGAAAGGTAGGATGGGGAAGTTTTCGGAGAATAACGGAGAAGCAGCACAAACTGAAGCAGCTGATAGCGCAAGTGCCTTTCGAGTCGACTCAAAATTCATCTCCCTCCATCACAGCATATAAAAAAAGCAGCACGAGCTGAGGCTTTTTCAAACTCCCTCCCTCCCTCCCTCCCTCCGTCTCCCCCTCCTGCGCCCCATGCCAGAATAGCGGAGAAGCAGCACAAGCTGAAGCAGCTGATAGCGCAAGTGAGGAGGACACGTGGCTTGCACCGATTGGCTCGCAGACGAGCCTCCTGGGAGGGTGGGGGCAAGGGGAGGGGGCTGCCTGTGGTGGCTGTGGTGGGTTACACCAATGCGGTGAGTGTTGCTTATAAGTCTGTTTTTGAGTCGACTCACAAACGGGAGGGGCTGCCTGTGGTGGCGGTGATGGGGTATACCAACGCAGTGAGTGTTTCTTATTGTGTCATGGGGTACACGCTGAGAGTGTGTGTTATTGTGGGACGAAAGGGAGAGGGCACAATGGCGGGGGAAAGGGAAGTGGGCTGCCTGTGGTGGCTGTGGTGGGGAATACCATCACAGTGAGTGTTTCTTGTTGTGCCGTGGGGTACGTGCTGAGAGTGTGAGTAATTGTGGGGCGAAAGGGAGAGGGCACACGGGTGGGGGAAAGGGAAGTGGGCTGCCTGTGGTGGCGGTGGTGTCTTGTATCAACGCAGCGAGTGCCTCTTTTCGTGTACATGCAAGGGAGAGTGGCATGGCAGGGTGACTTGTTGGAACAAGGGCGGGGGGAAAGGGAAGAAGGCTGCTGGTGGTGGCTGTGGTGGGTTATACCACGCGGAGAGTGTTTCTGAGTCGACTCAAAGGTCACTTTTGAGTCGACTCAAAAGTCACCTCGGTGGTGGCTGTGGTGGGGTATACGACGCGGAGAGTGTTTCTTACTGTGTTGTATACATTCAGTGTTGTTTGCAAGCAACGTTGCAGTGTATTTTAAAGTGTGATATCTGCTCTACATGTGCTGTCCCAATCTATTCGACACGATATCGTGTATTCCCTATCTAAGGGTTCCAGTCAACGCTCTTGCATGATGTCATCATCCTTGTTGACCTGTATGCATGGTATGTGAAAGAAGTAGTGTTTTGAGACGTCTCGAAACACTACTTCCAGTCAACCCTCTTGCATGATGTCATCATCCTTGTTGACCCTTATGCATTGCACATGCATACCATGTGCATCTGTGCTTCATGTATTAGGGAGTCGCTTTTGAGAATACACCTATCTGTTCTCCATGTTCATGTTTGCCAGGGAAAGTCGACGCTGGTGACGGCACTTTCACAGTCACCCCAGTACATTGATGACTGGGTGATGAGAATACTGAGAGGTGGGGAATGCGAGAGGTTTGTTGATAGGGACTTTGCTGCTAAAGAAAGGGCTTGGCTGGTTGTGGACCGTTTGAGAGCAAATGCAGTGGTAGCTAAGGAAATGTGAGATGACTTTAAAAAATTCTTAAAGTGACTCCAAATGCAATGGTTTCAAAGGTCATTTGAGGTGTGTTTTGAGTCGACTCAAAACAAGGTCATTTGACATGCTCCATTTCTCTCCTCTCAAGTGGTACAGGCCTTTTGCAGGCTTGTTCATTCATTCGTTGCTCTCCCTTATGCCCATAAATGTCACAGTGTGGTGTTCTGCCGCCCTTGCAGTCTATTTGCAACCCTGGATCCTCGTGTGATAGCCATCAAGCTGCCCTTTTGAGACTCCTGCGGTGCAGAATCGCGCCTTCATTGCTCTCTCCTCTGCTCCTTGCTTTTCACTGCTTGGCCTTCTGCCGCCCTTGCAGGTTGTTTGCAACTGTGGATCCTCGTGTGAGGGCTGTCAAGCTGCCATCAGGGTGAGATGGCATGAGGGTGAGATGGCATGAGGGTGAGATGGCATGAGGGTGAGGTGGCATGAGGGTGATATGCCATGAGAGTGAGATGCCATGAGGGCTAAATTGGAAAATTGATCCAGTTTACACCCCGAATGTCTTTGCGTATCTATCCGTTCCATCTCCTGCGTTAGCGGCTTGTCATCTCCACGTGCAATGTAGGGGGCTAGTGATACAGTTTTAGTCATCTCCTGCCGAATGCACACGCCTATACATTCTGTTTCGCCCAAAACGTTTATTTGTTTTCGCTTAGTATTATTATTGTTTTTTTTTTTTTTTTTTTTTCTCAGGCGCAGGGTGCTTTTGAGTGACACGGTGGGGTTCATATCCGACCTGCCCCATCAGCTGGTGGAGGCGTTTCACACGACTCTGGAGGAGGTGGTCGAGGCCGACCTGCTGCTGGTAGGGCTTGTTTGTAATGAGCGTGCAACGAGAACAATGTATGTGGTATGGGCGCATGCAGCATGTGCCATGAATGGGCTGGTAGAGGCGTTTCATGCCACACTGGAGGAGGTGGTTGAGGCAGACCTGCTGCTGGTAGGGTCTTGCTCCGATCCTCCCATGCACAATGCTGAAAGATGTACTTTTATTGTTGCTATTCTTGTCATCAATAAAATTGCTATTTTTACTATTACTAGTTACTATTTCTCCTACTACTTATCATTATGGCTGTTTTGTTGTTAGTAGCATAGTTTTTCCTTCGAAGGATCTTTCAACACTGTAGTCCACCCTCAACCCAAAACCTCTCCCTCCCCTCTACCCCCTCAACCCCACCACACCACCCCACCCTGTTCCCTCTTGGCTGCTTGTCCACGTCAGCATGTGGTGGATGCGTCAGCACCGGACATGCATCAGCAACGACAGGCGGTGATGCACGTGCTGACGCAGATGGGGGTGCCTGTGGATCCAGGCATGGCCGCTGATGTCAGCATGGCTGCTGGCAGAAGCAGCATGGGTGTGGGTCATGATGGTCATGGTGTGGATGGTTCAAGCATGGGTCATGGGATTCATGGTTCAAGCGGGCATGGCTCTGGCAGCAGCAGGGTGGAAGGGAGGTTCTTCATTCATCCACATATCATTGAAGCTTGGAACAAGGCAAGTTTGTTTGTTTGTTTTGTTTGTTTGTTTGTTTGTTTGTTTGTTTGTTTGTTTGTTTGTTTGTTTGTTTGTTTGTTTGTTTTGTTTATTTGTTCTTCCCACGTTCAGGGTGTTCTCGTGTCAGCGCAGTGCTTGATTTTGCATGTTTGTCTCCTATTCCCAACCTCTTTGTCCTTTTGTCCAATCCTCTTTGTGCATGAAACGTCTCCGTTCTCGACAGGTGGACCTCCTTCCTCCCTCGCACCCATCTTTTTGTCGACTCAAAAATAGGCCCAACCTCTTTGTCCCTTTGTCCAATCGTCTCCGTTTCCTGACAGGTGGACCTCCTTCCTCCCTCGCACCCCCTACTCTCGGGCTCATCCATTCTAGAGTCACATCTTCATAAGAACACACTTGACCCAGCTGTAGCGCCGCCCAACTTCCAAGATTCGTTACAAGCACAAGATGCTCCGTTCATGACCAATCCTGTGCTGCAATGCGAATCCGAGGAGGATAGGGCGGGAGTGCAGATAGACGATGAGGGGAACGAGCGATTGCATGTTCTTGAGACAGCCGGGGTTGTTGGTGGGGGCAGAAGGGAATAGGAAGCTGCTGGTTCTGGCAATGTACGGAGTGAAGCTTGGGGTCTGCCTGGTTCCCAGCCAGGGGAGCAGGATGAGGAAGATGGGGGAAAAATAAATGATGAGGATGAGGAAGACGAAGAGGAAGAGGGATGTGAAGAGGAAGAGAAGGGTGATGAGGAAAAGGGGGATGGGTGTGTTGAGAGCGAGCGTGTCCAGGAAGAGGAATATAGGCTGGGTCATGTGGGAATGCATGGGCAACAAGATGCTGTTACATGGACCGGGAGTTTTAGAAGTTTGGGAGGGTTTAGCAATGGTTGGGGAAATGGAGGTTCTACGGTAAAAGGGGCTTTTGCTCGAGTCAAAGCTTCGAGGCCGATTTTTATCTCGGCTGTTCGTGGCACTGGGTTGGAGAATCTTTTGAGTGATATTGATGAAGCGCTGATTGAAAGAGGCTTATGATGGGTGGATGGTTTTGCTTAAATTCTGCATAAATATTTTGGTTGAATCATGGAATAGTCATCAATGTAGTCTTCTGAATGAAAAGGATATCTCAATTTTCTCCGTTTGGCGTTTCCTTCATTCGTTACCAGCTGGCAATTGTCAGTTTCTGACAAAACACACTCGTGGCTGCCGCGTTTGTTGTCCTGCCCTTGAAAACGGCCGTCTGTTTGCTAAAACTACAGTACAGTAAAGTCGCGTAAAATTATGGAAGTGACTCCAGCACAGCCCCGCGACAGCACTCGGTTTGAAAAGCACCGATTGCAGTTGATAAACAACGAAGATCTAAAACAGAATGTTTTGTCTCAATGTGGCAAGACTAAACACTACACATTTGTCTCAATGTGGTCGCGTTAAAAAAAAACAATCAGTATTCGCGTGAGTCTATGTAAGAAACTAGTCTGGGCAGTTGAACATCGCTCATTTCACCACTGAGGTAGAGTGCAACTTCAAGAATTATGTAAAAGCAACTTAGCTCTTATGGAAGGTTAACAAAATTCACCTTAATAAAAATGTGGATACCATATATATAGAAAAAAACTCACTGAGATGCCTTGTAACCATTGTAAACTCGGCCATGTGGGCTAACTTTCCTTCATTTTTTCAAGCCTATTATTTGAAATGTCATTAGTATATGTGCTTTGCAAGGGGACGTCCTGGTTTTTTTTTTCATGAGTGCCCTCTCTGTCTATACTAAATATTGCATTGAACACTTGAGAATGTGAACCACCTCATTGAGCCGCATTTGAATGAGCTGCGACCATACATGATGTGATAGGGCGCTCTTTGGTGCGGTCAATAACGGGAACCCACAAGATAGAGCCGTAGCGTTAATAAAACCGATGCCACCTGAATGAGAAAATGGGTGTATAAACGCAATCATGCAGTTCGAGGCAGATGATCTTCACACACCAGGTTTCAGCTCCATCGATGGAGTTTGCCTTCTGCCCATGGCCGTATCCCGCCCGCATCACCATTCTCGAAAAATGGCTTATGTTTGTGGCTGACAGACAGCCCCTGGAAACACGCTCCATTGTTCTCTTGCTCTCGCTCATCTCAGTGTAGTGTATACTTCACATACAAAACCGGTTTGATTACACCCTCTTTCTCGCCATACTGACGTCCGCTATACTGACTTCCAGAGTGAAAAATCTCGGTTGAGGTTGGTTGATTTAGGTTTCGGTATGGTTTATTTGGGCAAATCGAATAGGACAAGGCCAGCCTGCCAGTTACGCGCGGGTCAGTGTAGCGAGAAACAGGGTGTAGAAAACCAACTTCCATAACAGTACTGTGGGGTTGCCATCCACTTCCACGCTGCCTCCAGCTCACCCTCACCATCCTCCATGACTTGTTCCACCCTCCTCGTCCCCCCTTCACGAGACAGCACCTGTTGCTGAAACATGAAATTCCAAAAATCGAATCCACTCTGGTCTCCTTTGCCGAACCTTCTTTTCCATCCCTTCCTGCTCTCATTTCACAGCTCGAATTACAGCTCCGAATTTATCACTCTGCCAATCTCCTCGTTCATTTACATCGCTGATGCCACAGCCATGCCCAAGTTTCGAAGTTTCGCTGCACCTACAGCTGGGCTGGGCAGCAGCCAGGCCAGTCAGCCACCTGTCCACCAACCAATCCTTGTTGACGGAGAGCCTCAGGCAACTCCAGAGTCCAAATCACGAAGCACCATACTCCCAGCCCAGAGGAGCAGCAGCTGAGCTGCATTAGCAGCAGTCCATCCCCGTCTTGATTCTTGAACTGCTCGAATGCCAAGTGCAAATCCTTATCCGCTAACCGAGCAGCAGAAGCACCCCGTTGCGCGAAGCGCCATACGCCCAGAGGACAGTGACTCGTGATGGAATGTAGGGTTTCATTCGACGCCTCTCTGTCTATCCGTCCGTTGTCTGTCTGCGAGGCTGTTTGTGGTAGTGCGGATGGCTGTCTTGTCCTGTGGACAGTATTCGCTGAGAAGTGACGCTCGCGTGTCCTCGGCTTTCAAGGTTTGAATCTTAGCGACGCGATCATCTGTGCTAAAGCCCAGAAGGATTCCCTGACGGACGGAAAGATGCACAGGCGTTGGGAGAGGAACAGTGCCATCACGTTTAGTAGTTTTTTTTTCACCATTGGATCGCTCGTACCATGAACGATGACTGTAACGATACGATAGTATGGTGCCCGTTGTTCGATGTGACGTTTAGATCCCAAGCTCTCAACTTGACGTTAACTCGTTTCTGGTCAAGAATTAGCGGCGACCATGTCCGGTAGCGGCGAGCATTGCTCCTATGCTTACATCTCTTCAGTTTCGTAGTAGCACGCGGTCATGGAAGCGACTTACGCAGCTCGACGGTTCGAGTCTGCGGGAGCCATGGCGGAGCGCCGCTTAGATCCGCGCCTTTTCGAACCGCACCCCTTCAACCCGCGCCCTTTCGATCCCATCATCACTAACGAGACGCGTCATGCGCACCCATTAGAGCCCGTGACGTCGAGTGGAGGCGAATCTGCAAGTTGCAAGCCGGGAGTAATGCGTCCGTCGTTCCGCGGTCGCGGAGATGGCGATTCGGTTAGACGTAACAGTAGTGCGGCTGGCGCATCCACGGATAATACTCGCGCAGGTCCTGCTGCGACTCCGCGACGCAGCGCATCGCGGCAGTCCATCGACGGTCGCAGCCCGTCCTTGTCGCACGGCGGGCGTCGCAGCCCGACGCATTCGTTCGATTTCGATAACGACTGGAGTAGGAGCGCAGACGTTTTTGCCGAACCTCGCGACACGCCCCGCGCCGGAGGCTCGGGAACAGGCTCGTCACCGAACCATGAGGGGGAGAAGCCCGTCGCAGCTCGAGCTTGGGTCGGCGGATTTTCCGCGGATAACGGCTTTTGGCGCCGCGCTGCGGAGGACGGCGCGGCGGCAGCATGGCCGCGCGAGGACGGCGGCAGCGGCAGCGGCGGAGGCGGAAGCAGAGGTGGAGGGGGAGGCGGAGCAGCATGGCGGAAGCCCGGCGCGTTCCTCCCCCCGCGCCTGCTCCTCTGCACGGGGCCTCCCGCCGCCATCTCCCCGTGCTCGACGCTCGAGCGCCAGCTCAGTCCGTGCTGCTCTTCCGCTGCCACGTCAGCTGCGTCGAGCCCGTGCCCCGTGTCGAGTCCGCTATCGGCCGCGTTCAGCCCACTGTCCGCGCGGAGCGCCTCGCCGCTAGCCGACAAAAGCCCCTCCAACCCGTTACCCGGAAGAAGCGCCTCTCCCTTCGCGGGGAGAAGCCGCTCCCCCCTTTCGAGGGGAAGCTTTTCCCCCATGTCGGGGGGAAGCGCTTCCGCCTTGTCAGGGGGAAGCGCCTCTCCAGTTGCTGGCCGCGGTAACTCCTCCCCGCTATTCGGGAACAGCGCTTCCGCGCTTTCTGGCGGAACCACATCCCCGTTTCTTCCGCGCAGCCCTATGCCTCTCCGCAGCCCGTTACCCGCGTTCGCGCCCTCCTCGCCCCTCCGCCCGCGCAGTCCTCTTTCCGCGCAGTCTCCCGTCTCCCCGCACGTCAGCCCCGCGCATGCGCCTACCCGTTCCGCCTCCGCCAAGAGCCCCCTTTCGCGCCGACCGCTCGGCCGTTCCGCCAGCCCCCTGCATACAGTTGCGCCGCACCCACCTGCGCTGCTCTCACCTGCGCCGCTTTCACCTGCGTCGAATTCACCTGCGCTGCTCTCCCCTGCGCCGCCATCACCTGCGCCGCTCTCACCTGCGCCTTATGGGTCGACTCTGAAGTCGCCTCGGCGAGGAGACGGAAGCGGCGGTAGCGCAAGCAGCGGCAGCGCAGGCAGCAACATCTCCTTGTTTCGAAGCAATACCAGTTGCAGCGGTAGCAGCAACAGCAGTGGCGCCTCCTTTTTCCGCAGCGCCAGCAGCACCAGCGGCAGCAGCAGCACCAGCGGAAGCGGCAGCATCAACGGCAGCAGCGGCGGTCACAGTTGCAACAGCAGTCCGATACGCGGAGGGGCGCGAGCGGCGCAGGGGCCCGCGCAGGGGCCCGCGTTCGTCAGGCGACCCAGCCTGCTGTCGCGCGCGCAACCGCCCGCTTCTCCTCCGCCCGCCTCCATCCCGCCCGCCTCGCCTCCGCCACTGCCCTCTCCGCGCGCCTCCCATCCATCTACCACAACACGCGCTCAGCCTCCGCTGTCTGCTCAACCCCCCGCCTCCCCCTCCTTCTCCCCCCCGCCCGTCTCCCCTCCGCCATTCTCCCGCGGTCAGCTTCCGCTCTCCCCTTCCCCTCTGCTCCCCCTCTCATCATCCAAAGCGCGCCCAGTCTCCCCCCTGCGCCCAGTCTCCCCCTTGCGCCAAGTCTCCCCGCAAATGCGCCCAGTCTCCCCCCACCTGCGCCCCGTCTCCCCCCACCCGCGCCCAGTCTCCCCTAAAATGCGCCCTAGTACTCCCCAGCGGTCCCCAGCAACCCCCCCAGTGCCGTACGCAATGCGCCCTGTCTCGCCCGCCGCAATGCGCTCTGTCTCGCCCGCAATGCGCCCTGCGTTGCCCCACCTTTCCCCCACCTCGTACGCGCCACACCCTCCCTCCCCCTCCCCTCTCCTCTCCCCTCCCCCGCTCCTCCGCGCCCCTCCCTTTCCCCTCCGCCCTCTCTCCCCCCTCCTCCGCCCGACTTCCCCCACCCTTCCCCCTGCCACGCCGTCGTTCCTCCGACCATCCGCGCAATTCCCCCCATCCCCGCAATCCCCCCCGTCTCCGTCTCTCCTAGACACCACTTGCCGTCCCATCAACGCCGCTCTTAACCCATCTAACCATCACAACGCTCCACCCTCTCCCAACCCTTTCCTCTCTCCTTCCTTCGCTCCTACCGCTCCCAACACCTCCTCCTCTCCGAGACCATCCCTCGCCCCTCCCACACCCTCGTGGACCAGCGAAAGGGAAAGTCGAAGCGCAACAGTAACAGCAGCCGCCGCCGCCGCCGCCGCTTTCGCAGCAGCAGCAGCAGCAGCAGCAGGAGGAGGAGGGGCGGTTGGCGCAGGAGGAGGAGGAGCGGAAGCGGAAAGGGGGGGGAAGGCGAGGAGTGGAGGGAGAGGCAGCAAGGCGGGAGGAGCGGAAACGCGTCGAGCCGTTGGGTTGTCGGAGCTGGCGCGGGGGAAGGGCGCAGCTGTTACCAGGGGCGTGGGCGGCGGTGGCAGGGCGGCGGCAGGGCAGCAGCGAGAGGGGCACGCCAAGGCGACGGCATGCGAGGAGCAGTGGTCGAGCCAAGAAGGCGTTGCTGCACCCGCACCTGTTGCTGCGCCTCTGCTCTCTGCTTCTCTTGCCGTGGCTTCCCACTCTCCAGGTCAAGCTTCCCCGCTCGCGCGGAGAGAGCGCAACTCGCGGGGAGACCTAGACCTTTCCCCCCCACAACTCACCCCTCGCTCGTCCCACCCGCCTTGCTCCCCCTACTCCCCCCGCTCTCCCCACACGCCTAACTCCCCCCACACCTCCCGCGCTTCCCCCACGCCCCACTCCCCACTACGGTCCATTACCCGTGATCCACGCACCAACTCCCCTCTCTCCTCCCCACTCACTCCCCCCCATCCTCACTCGCTCTTCTCTCCCACCACCACCCCTCCTCGCCCTCCCCTCCCCTCCCCCCTCTCCTCCTCCTCCTGCTCCACCCTCCCTGCTCCCCTCTCCTCTCCCCTGGGATCTCCAGCACCGTCCCTCGCTCGCCGAGTCTCCACCTCAGCTTCGGGAGCTGGTTCGGCACCAGCCTCTGGGAGATCACCCGCGCGGAGCTGGAAAGAACGGTCCGAACCGTCGGCACAAGGCCCGGGGTCAGGCCCGGCATTGAGTAGGCTGAGCACCAGCAGTAAGGAAGGGTGTGGTAACCATAACGGTCACACCACCACAAGCATCAACAGCAGCAGCGGTGGTAACACCACCACCGCCAGCACCATCACCACCACAAACAGCAGCAGCAGCAGTGTGAAAGCAGCAGGGTCCCCATCACTCCCGCGCCTGCGCATGCGCACCCCTCTCTCTCACAGCATGGACGCCCGCTCGCTCTCCCTCCTCCCCCTCTGCGCGCCCTCTGACGGGTCGAAGCCACGTGGCGCTGCTGATTCAGCCAGTGGTGATGGTGGTGCTGGTGGGTGTTATCATGACCAGCTGAAGCAGCTGAACCCAAACCAGTTGCTGCTGCAGGAGCAGCGAGAAGAGCAGCGAGAAGAGCAGCGGGAGGAGCAGTGTGAGGAGCTTAAGCAGGAGCCGAAGCTATTCCGACACAAGCAGCAGCAGGAGGAAGAGAAGTGGGGGGATTCGCACCAGCAGCAGCAGCAGCAGAGAAAGGGGCAGGGACAGCAGAATCAGCAGGGGAAGGCTCGGGTGCGACGTGGCAGTGTGGCAGTGGACGGCATGGGCGACTCGTTCCAGGAATTCAGGAGCCTGCGGCCAGCAGAGTTTGTCCTACGCCGCACATACTCAGACGTCCACACCACCTATACCATAGACTACCAGGGAGCACCTCTTGGCACCGGGCAGTTTGGGGTCACCAGAAGGTGTTGGAGGAAGAAGGGGATGAGTGGTACAGGGGAGGAGCTAGCGTGCAAGACGATAGACAAGGCGAGCATCAAGACGCATGAGGACGCGGAGGATGTGAGGAAGGAGGTGGCGTGCCTGGAGCTGCTGGCAGGGCATCCCACTGTTGTCACCATCAAGGACGCGTTTGAAGACTCCCAGGTCAGTCATGGCTCATGGCTCATGACCCTCCCCTTCTGTTTCCTCCCTACCCAACAGCACGTGCACTTTGTCACAGAGCTCCTCACATGCCGTCATTCTTCCTCACACCTCCTCTCATCCCCTCCCCCATCTCTCCTCCCCACCTCTTTCCACCCCACAGCACGTGCACATCGTTACGGAGCTCCTAGCGGGCGGCGATCTCTTCGACAGAATCAGATCGCTCCGCCGCCTCTCCGAGCCGTCCGCTGCCCGCCTGTGCGCCGCCCTGATCGAGGCCCTGCTGCACTGCCACTGCCGCGGCATCGCCCACCGCGACATCAAGCCCGAAAACATCCTCCTTACAAGCCTCTCCTCCGACTCCGATATAAAGCTCATCGACTTTGGCGTCGCAACATCCTTCCAACGCGGTGTGCCACTAACCGATGCGGTCGGGACTCCGGAATACATGGCTCCCGAGGTTCTCCGGCAGAGTTATGGCCCGGAAGCGGATATATGGAGCGCGGGGGTGGTTCTTTACGTGGTACTTAGCGGCGCGCCCCCGTTTTGGGGGTCTAAAAACAAGTCGGTGGTGGAGCGGATACTCAAGAAAGAGGTGGCATTCAGAGGGGCCAAGTGGGAGGGCGTGTCGGAGGAGGCTAAGGACCTGGTTGCTCGCATGCTGGTGAAGGATTCGATCAAGAGGATTGGCGCTCTTGAGATTCTCGGTGAGCCGTGTAACCTGTTACAGCGTGCAACTGTTGCAATGTCACACAGCATTCAAGCACGCCGCTCTCTCGATGTCCCCTTGAACTTCTTTGCCTAGACTTACATCCTGCTGTTTCTCCTGCCTTGCATTCCGCGTGTCCTTGATTTCGCCTTTTTTTTTCTCTCAGAGCACCCGTGGATTCAGTTGAATTTTGAGGCGCCTTAAAATTCAACTCCTGCCTTGCGTTCCGTGTGTCCTTGATTTCGCCCTTTTCTCTCTCAGAGCACCCGTGGATTCAGAAGTGGAAGCAGGCTCCTCGCACGTGAATTGTTGCGACACACACGAGTTGAAGCCTGCTGGGATGAAGGAGAGGAGAGGTAGGAGGTTCACAGCAAAGGAGTTGATCCAGAAATGCATGTGATGCAGCAGTGCAGTGGAGAGGATACTGGCAGAACGCCACTACGGAATTGCTTCATAAGGTTTGTGGGGAGGAAGGTGAGGGCTCGGAGTGGAGGAGCTTCACGTCACGGCAAATGAGTCGAAACCAGGAATACATGTGATGTACCGGTCGCAGCGGAGCGACGTGTAGCGAGGTTGTTTTTGAGACGTCTCAAAAACAATCTCAGAATACATGTGATGTACCATTCGCAGCGGAGCGGCTGGATACTGGCTGAACAACACCACTACCAGTATGAGGTTGCTTCAAAATGCCTGCTGGGATGAAGGTCGAGTGGAGAATTGTTTCATAGCAATGGGCTGAATAAGGCAGCATTTGCTCCCTCCCTGCCTTAGGGACTTCCTGGGTAATGGGAGTCTGGGTAGGAGCAGAGCAGTCTCAGTTGTGGGGTGTGCTTTGGCAAGAGCATAGCCCGTGTTGTATATTATGTAGAAACAAAAACGGTAGAAAGGGAGAGTCCATAAGGATCTCTCTTAGAAAGCATGCCAATTATTTGTTTCATTCATTTTTATTGATTTATTCATTGTATTTGAAAGTACATCCTCCTATGTGTGGATTGCATATTGCTTCGTCCATTGAATTGTGAATGATGGTTCAGTTAGCAGAATTGCAGTAAGGTAGTGGTGTGGCCTGGTGTGGGAAGTTGTTGCGTAAGGGAATATCGGAAACCAACAAGAAGCTTCACTCCAAATAGATTTCAGGTAGCGAGTCCTACCGTAACAGGGATGCCGCCGCCATGCCTTCCATTCACCACTACAGTAGCACTGGCAGACCGCGACCTACTAAAGCAACCAGCAGCAAGCAGGGTTGTCTATTATCGACCAGGGCCGCATTTTCGAAGTAGAATCTTCGTTGTTCAGAAAAAACAACTACGCACTAAGCCTCCAATGATGCTACTGGAAAGAAAGCAAGCCATTCGTGGGATGATGCGGCGCCTGGCACGCAGCGGCGGCGGCGGCGGCGTCAGAATGCAGCCACCTCAGCTAGCATAGTACGCTCATATAGCGTATAGATGTCTCAAAAGTCGATTTAGCTTCATTCTTATCATCGCTGTTCGCCTGGCACGCACACGCTCTTCGCGGATGAAGAAGTTTGTGTTCATCGCGTTTCTCCGCGCGTCGCTGTCCGCGCGCCACGTGCTCGTCTCCCTGCTCGCCCTCACCCTCGCCTGCCACGTGGCACGCGTTCCGCAGTGCGCAGACCTCTCCCATTGGCGCGTCGTCGTCAGCAGCCAATCAAAGCCCGCGACGCTTCCGGAGCGTCTCAGTGTAGACAAAATCGTCGTCTCGCGAACCGAGCTGCTTCAGAGTCGACCGCTCCAGTCCTTTAGGCAAATTCTCAAGAATGACTCGGGGTTGACTAGAGCTCAGCGGCTGGAAAACGGTGCACGAAGAAAGCTCACTAGTCATAGTAGTTACAATTCCGCACCAGGACGTTCGGGTTCGGGTTCGGGCCGAGCCTCGGCAACAGGCTCGGGAGTTGTCTCTTCCGAACAAACCCAGGCTCGGCGTTTCCCGTCCCTAGCGCTGTACACGGCTCCTATCGGGTACAACACAACAATGACGGCTTTAAAGCGCGCCGTGCTCTCGTGGCTGCGCCTCGCGCCGCCTCCCCACACGCCTCACGTGTACTTGATAGGCTCGCACCCTCTTAACTCCTCCCGGCCGCACCCGTCGCTGGTCTGGCTGGCCAGGCAATTCCCAAGGCACGTTCATGCTATAGGAAGCGGGAATTCCCAAGGAAAGGGTGTTAGAAAGGGGAGACGGAGGGGAAGGGGGGTAGGGGAGGGGGAATGGGGAGATGGGGAAGTGGGGGAAGGGGAATCGGCAGAAGGGGGTGGAGGGGAAGGGGTAATGCTGGGGGGAGGCGTTGATGTGACTTATGACGGTGTGACTAAAATGAATTCGTTGTTTGCTCTGGCGATGGGGGACAGACGGGCGGATGTAGCGGGGGTGATAGACCCTGACGTGGTGCTGCTGGGGGATGTGATGGCGGCTGTAGCGCGGCTGACGTGGCAGGAGGAGCAGGAGCGACGGGAGATGAGGAAGTGGGAGAGAGGGTGGTGGAGGGGAGTGGGGGGGAGGGAGGGGGAGGCGGAGAGAGAGGAGGAGGAGGAGGAGGTGGTGGGGGGAGGGAGGAGGCACAGAGGCAGGCTGCTGCGAAAAAGGGATTCCCTGTCTCCTTCAGAATCCTCCTCCTCCTACCACTCCTCTTCTCCCTCTCCCCCTCTCCCTCTCTCTCCGAGATGGATTCTCACCTCTTCTCTCTGGCGAGTTTCCTGGTTCCCCTTCGTTCTCGACAATCTCCCCCTGGAAATCCAGCCGGCCAATCACAAGCCACCAGCTGGCGTGGACGAGGCAGAGGTGCGAAAATTCTTGAGGCAGCATGCTGAGCTGGACAGTGGTGGGCCGATTGGGTTTGTGATGTGGAGCCAGAGACAGTTCCGGGAAGCTTCCTCTGCTGCAAGCATAGCCGCACAACAAACAGCAGCAGCACGAGTTGCAGGAGCAGGAGGGATAAGGGGAGGAGGAGAAGGAGGGGAAGTAGGGGAAGTAGGGGAAGGAGGGGAAGGAGGGGAAGGAGAAGGTGAAGCAGCAGGCAATGTAGCAGCGTTCAACCGAAATGGGTTGCGAGTTTCGTTGTTTTCTGAGCCGATGCCGCCCTTTTTGTATGGGCGGGGCCCTCAGGGGTGGCAGTGGGTGCTTCGCCAGCTGGCGTGGGCTAGCCAAAGGGGGGATAGTACTAGTGGTGGCGGCAAGGGGAGGCAGGGGGGCGACAAGGGGAGGCAGGGGGGCGACAAGGGGAGGCAGGGGGGCGACAAGGGGAGGCAGGGGGGCGACAAGGGGAGGCAGGGGGGCGACAAGGGGAGGCAGGGGGGCGACAAGGGGAGGCAGGGGGGCGACAAGGGGAGGCAGGGGGGCGACAAGGGGAGAGAGCGAACTCGGAGGAAGGGGGAGGCAGAGGAGGGAGGGCAGGGAGTGGAGGGCAGGTGGGCGCACAGAAGAGAGTGGTACTGGATGGGGGGCGTGGGGGGGAAGAGCGCAGCAGTGGATCGGGGGAGGGGGCTTGGGGAATTTGCAATGGCCGAGCATGACTTGGTGCATGTGGTTGGTCGGTTGGGTAGGGAGGAGGGGAAGGTGGGTGGGGTGAGTAGGGAGGGTGTGCTGCATGTGGTTGACGGCACAGGTGCTGCCTCTGCCATCCGCATTGACCCTCAGTATGACTCGGTGAAAGAGGCCGAGCGGGCGAGGGGGAGTGCGGAGCAGGGCAGGAGAATGGGTGGGGGGGATGGGGAGAGGGGGAGGAGCGGGAGGTGGATGGGGCTGCCAGCTGTGCATGGTGCCACGTGGCATGGGCAGGTGAATGAGATGCTGCTGCGAGGGGGAGTGGGGGACTGGGGGGCGGAACAGGGGGAGCGAAGCGGAGAAGGACGGTGGGGGGAAGGGGCTGTGGGGGATACGAGAAAGGGAGATGGAGGAGAGGCAACCGAGGAGGAGGGAAGGATCGCATGGGAGTGGGCGTGGACAGGGGGGAGCCGACAGTGGCCCATCTGCGGTGGCACGTGGCCATGTGCCATGGGCCAGGAGGTGAGATGGGCATGTGCAGTGCATGGGCGGGGAGGAGAGATGGCATGGGAATTATGATGTTGCGTGCTGCACAAGGTGCTGACTGACAGTGGCCCATCTGTGATGGCATGTGGCCATGTGCCATGGGCCAGGAGGTGAGATGAGCTTGGCATGGGCTGGGAGTTGATACGGCCATGTGCCATGTGCCATGTGCCATGTGCCATGTGCCAGGAGGTGAGATGACACGGTACGGGCCAGCCAGGAGGTGAGATGACACGGTACGGGCCAGCCAGGAGGTGAGAGGCATGGGCGTAGAGGTGAGTGACATACCATCCGCTGTGTGTTCGCTCACTCACCCTCATCCCACATCGCTCATGCACAGTGCTCTGTATTCTTCCACCCACATTCTTCCCTCACAGGCGAGCACCCCTGTCTCATGCGTCGCATCCGACCCGGCATCTGCCCCTGCGAGCTCGTTCATGCCTCCTGCAACAGGGGTTCTCTGCTCCTGCTCCCCTGAATGGGGTGTGGCTGCTCAACCCTCCTCTCTGCCTTCACCCACCCCTCACAGGCGAGCATCCCTGTCTCATGCGTCGCATCCGCCCTGGTATCTGCCCCTGTGAACTCGCCCACGCCTCCCGCCGCTCCTCCCTCCCCTCCTCCCCCTTCCGCGCCGGTCCCTACTTCGCCTGCTCCCCGGAACCTCCGCCTCCCCCTCCCCGCCCTGTACTCGCTATTAGCATGCCTAACACCTCGCTATTGGCAAGGGCGAAAACAATAAGTGCAGAAGGAGGGGAAGTCAGTGGGGCAGGAGGGGAGGGACGGGAGGGAGGGGAGGGATGGGAGAGGGGGAACGGAAGGACCGAGGGGGGACAAGGCGACGAGGAGGGGGAGGTAGAGGTGGTGCGGGCACGGGGGTTAGAGGAGGTGGTGGGGGAGGTGGCGGATGGGCACAAGGCGGAGGTGCTTGTGGCGGCCACTCACCACTATGCCTCCATGCTTCTCAGCTTCGCTTGCATGTGGGTGCGTCATTCTTGCATGTGGGTGCGTCATTCTTTCATGTGGGTGTGTCATTCTTGCATGTGGGTGCGTCATTCTTGCATGTGGGTGCGTCATTCTTTCATGTGCTGTGTCTAGTTTCACATCCACCTTTTTTGTTATTTATTTTCTCTTTCTTTTTTCTCTTTCTCTCTCTCTTTCCTTCTTCCTTCCTTCCTTCCTTCCTTCCTTCCTTCCTTTCTTTCTTTCTTTCTTTCTTTCTTTCTTTCTTTCTTTCTTTCTTTCTTTCTTTCTTTCTTTCTTTCTTTCTTTCTTTCTTTCTTTCTTTCTTTCTTTCTTTCTTTCTTCCTTTCTGTTTTATGTTCTCGTTTTTCAATTCCATGCTCGTTTGTTTGTCAATTCTCAAATACTCTGCGATTTCCTTCGTTTTTTTTTCTTTTTCTTTTTTTTCTAGTGGATTTCATGCTTCTTTGGCAAGTCTTTGCCTTCACGTAAGTACCATGCGCATCACATCCAATTTCCATTTCCCCCCTTCAGGCTCCGCCGTCTCTCAGTGCCCAACCTGCTAGTGGCAGCTCTCGACCCCACCGCCTACCGCATCGCTCTCCTGCACGGCCTCCCCGTCTTTTATGACAACACCACTGCAGCAGTGTTTCCATCAGATGCACAAGGAGCAAACGGAGCAGAGGGAGCTGAGGGGCTCGGGCCAGTTGGCTGTGCGTTTAACAGCCACTGCTTCCGGCACTACACCAAGCTCAAGAGCCGCGCCGTGCTGCGCGTGCTGCGGCTGGGCTATGCTGTGCTGTGGAGCGATGTGGATGTGGCGTGGTTTGAGAATCCGCTGCCAATGCTATGGCAGTATGGGGAGGGGGTGCTAGCAATACAGGTGAGTGGTTGTGCTGTACAGGAGTGGCTCCCCTAAACCAGAGCAACAAGCCTTACCCCCCTCTCCCTTGCTCGCCTTGTTGATTTCTTTTTGAAGTCGCTCCTTTTTGCTCGTCGCCCCGTGCTCTGTATGCCACTCTTACCTCGCTACATCAGAGCAATGCCTGATCCCTCGCTCCCAGCCAACTCCTCTTGCCGCAACAACAGTGGCTTCTACCTCACTCGCCCCTTAAATTTCTTCTTGGAGTCACTCCTTTTTGCATCTTGTTTCGTTTCGTGCACTCTATGTATGCCACTTCCTCCCCCTTCCCAACCCCCCATCAGAGCAACGAGCCCGACCCCTCACTCCCAGCCAACTCAATACGGCGCATCAACAGCGGATTCTACCTCGCTCGCCCCGACCCCCTCACCATCGCTGCTCTCACCGCTGTGGTGAAGCATGCGGCACACTCACGGCTGTCGGAGCAACCTTCCTTCTATGACGTGCTGTGTGGGGAGCACGGGGAAAGGAGGGTGAGTGAGTGCGTGGCTTGTGCTTCTCTCACTGCTGCATCCACCCTTGTATCTGAGGTTTTTCTTTGCCTACGTTTAATGCATGCATCCATGCCCATCCCAACCAGACTGAGACAACACCTCATGATTGCATGCCATCCAATCCCAACTGCCCCATGCAGGTGGGCTCTGACACGTGTCAGTGGACCAATGGCCTGCGAGTAGTCTTCCTGCCACGTCAGCAGTTTCCCAACGGGGCAGTTTACCAGCTGTGGGGGCCCAGGGAAGGAGATGCTGGCAGTGTGCAAGGGGAGGTGTTATCTGGTGCTGATGGCCGGGGGGAGGTGGTATCTGCTGGGAGTGCGAGTGCGAGGGACGAGTGTGAAAGAAGAGGTTGTGTGATTCTGCACAATAACTGGATTGCAGGTGGGTTTTCATAGCAGCTTCAACACCTTACTTACACAGCACTTGGAGCAATAGTGGTTGCCTCCTTTGCACACTCCTCCCCATCCTCGTCCCTACCCTTGTTATTCTCCTAAAGCGAATTTTGTGAGCCTCCCTTCTCCCCACTTCCCCGTCTTCCTTCCCCCGCCCCCTCCCCCCTGCTCTATTTACAACCATTCACGTGCAATCGAATCCCGTCCTTTACCACCTCTCCATTTGCTATCTCGTCCTCCCCACCTCCAGGCTATGATGCAAAGGTGTCTCGCATGAAGAGCCATGAATTATGGTACCACGACTCAACAAACCACATGTGCTTCAATCCGTAGTGCAGTTTTACATGATGCGCAATTCAGTGAAAAGGTTTCACAAACTGTAGAGGCTATTTTATTATTTAGATGTGATTTATATTTTTTGCTGCTGGGTATAATGATATATACACTTCCGTTACATTTTGTCAATGATCGCCAGAGCAACTCTCCAGTTCGCGAATAATCGCTGCTCGTCGTCGAGCCAAATAAAGTAAACCACTCGCCAGCTCCAGTAATCTTCGCAAAGCATGTTCGGGTTACCCCCTGCCTCTATTTTCCAAAATCAGCCTAGATTTTGGAGGCGGCGGAAGGCGCAGAGGTTTATCAGCTTTTGTTCTTGCGGGAGAACTATATCTCCCTCAGTGTACAGGCCTCGCTGTATCGTTTGTGCATTTCAATCATTTACCGCACTTCGTTGCGCCTGCGACGCGCGACGACCGAGAAGCGACAAGAGCCGAGCGACTAGCGACGGGCGACGATGTCGTTAGGGTTTGCGCGCGACAGTGCGGCGGAGGTGCGACTAGACGCCGCCGTGCAGCGACTCCGCGCGCTCGACTCGAGCGTGCAACCGTCGTCGATCGTCGCCGTCGGGGACGCGCTCCCGATCGGCGCTGATGCATCCTTCCTCAGGTAACACCGCCCTCAGGTAACACCCTTTTTCAGCCTTTTCAGGTAACATCTTCCCGTGTAACACCTTTCCCAAGGAAATGCCTTCCCCAAGTGATACCGTCGTCTGTGAGATGCCAATTGCTTCTGTAATCATGCTGCTGCAAATGCACAGACGACTTTTCAGCTAATAATGCTGCTGCTGTTGCTGCTGCTCCCCCTCCCCTTCTGCACGTCTGTCTGTGTGGGGCCGGCAGGGGGCACGGAACGAGGGAGGGAGAGGAGGGGCAGGTGTGCGCCACGGTGTGCGGCGTGGTGAAGCGCATCAACCGCCTGCTCTCCGTGCAGCCGCTCAAGACGTGGTGCGTGGTGGATTGCGGTGGGGATGGGTTTTGCTGTGTGGGCAGTGATGGCATGTCGGTATGTACGTACATGCCATTTGTGGTGAAGCGAATCAACCGCCTGCTTTCTGTGCAGCCTCTCAAGATGTGGTGCGCTGGACTGTGTTGCATAGTTCTGTGTGCGTTGCTATGTGTTGTGCTGTCGCAGCATGTCTGTACGTGTGCATGCATGCCATGTGCTGTCAAGCGCATCAACCACCTCCTCTCCTTGCAGCCACTCAAAACCTGGTGTGTGATGTGATGTGATGTGATGTGATGTGATGTGAGGTGAGGTGAGGTGAGGTGTCGCATTGTGCTGTGTTGTGTTCGCATGGCACGGCCAATGTCATCTGCTGCGTGTCATGTGCGTCAGCGTGAGGCACACTGTGTGGTGAAGCGAAGCGCATCAGCCGCCTGCTCTCCGTGCAACCACTCAAGACGTGGTATGTGATGGGAATGTGATGACATGCCGTGTGCTTCATGGGTAAGGTAGGAGTCAGGCTCGTCTCTGGTATCAAATCCAACGTCGCTCGCTTCAAAGACGAACCTGACTGCATTCCCCCCGTCATCGTTGATTTAGGGAACCTTTCTCCATTCCCCCCATCGCCTTCTCCATTCCCCCCATCGCCTTCTCCTTCCCTCCACGCCCCAGGTACGTGGCGCAGACGGGGGACGTGGTGGTTGGGAGGGTGACAGAGCTCGTGCTCAAGCGACCGGCACTGCATCTGTTGAACACAACACTCTCACCCCCTCCCCCCTCCCCTCCCCCGTTTCCTTCTTCATGCCCCCGTCCCTCTCTCCATACTGACTGCAGGTACGTGGCGGACTGGAGACGTTGTGGTGGGGCGGGTGGCAGAGCTCGCCCCCAAGCGGTGGAAGCTGGCTGTGGGTTCAGCACATGATGTCCTCCCCCTCTCCCCTTTTTTTCCTCCCCCTCTCCCCTTTTTTTCCTCCCCCTCTCCCCTTTTTTTCCTCCCCCTCCCCTTTTTTTCCTCCCCCTCTCCCCTTTTTTTCCTCCCCCTCTCCCCTTTTTTTCCTCCCCTCTCTTCCCGCATTGACTGCAGGTACGTGGCACAAACAGGAGATGTGGTGGTGGGGCGGGTGACAGAGCTCGCCCCCAAGAGGTGGAAGCTGGCTGTGGGGTCGGCGCATGAGGCCCAACTCATGCTCTCCGCCATCAACCTGCCGGGGGGAGCTCAGGTGAGGTGGAGGTCAATTGAGAGGAGGACAGGTGGTGGGAGGTGGGGGGCGCGCAGGTGAAGAGTGTGCCCCCAAGCAGGGGAAGCTGGCTGTGGGGTCGGCGCATGAGGCCCAACTCATGCTCTCTGCCATCAACCTACCAGGGGGAGCTCAGGTGAGACCTCTATGAACCAGCACAAGGCAGAAGTATTGAGGAAACTTAAAGAGCAGCTGTAACGGGGTGGTACAGACAAAACGTATTCTTATTCTTACTTGTCAAGAGCGTTGGTTCCTGTTTCCTGTGTTATCCATGTTGTTGGCCCTCTCTTTTTCCACCCTTTCCTTCTCTTTTCTATTGTCCCTGGTTTCCCTGGCTTTTCCCAGAGGCGGCGCACAGCAGTGGATGAGTTGAACATGAGGAACATCTACGTAGAGGGGGACCTTGTCACGGTGAGTAGAGTAGCGCACTTATCTCTTTGAGGTGCCAACAGTGGTCGCGCTAGCTCAACATGAGGCGGCTATGAAGTCGTCTCACTTCACAGCAGTGGATGAGTTGAACATGAGGAACATCTATGTGGAGGGGGACCTTGTCACGGTGAGTAGAGTTCATAGCTTGGGCAAGGTTTTGTTGCTTGTGTGATTGGTATGGGCTCGCTTTCTCGCACGCACCGGTGCTTTCTGGGTGCAGAGTTTTTGGTGGTAAGTAACAAGTGCGAGTCTGATTATATATTCCAGTCCTTTGAATAGTGTATATTGATATATGTGTGTGTAAATGTATTTATATCTATACATACATACATACATACATACATACATACATACATACATACATACATACATACATACATACATACATACATACATACATACATACATACATACATACATACATACATACATACATACATACATACATACATACATACATACATACATACATACATACATACATACATGCATGCATGCATGCATGCATGCATACATACATACATACATACATACATACATACATACATACATACATACATACATACATACATACATACATACATACATGCATTTATCGTTTATCCTCCTCCTTTACTTCCCCACGTCGACAGGCGGAGGTGCAGAGTGTGTTCCATGATGGCTCAGTGGTGCTGCACACCCGCAGCGATAAATACGGCAAGGTACTTCCTTTTTGTGCAAGGTACTGCCCTTTTGTGCAAGGTACTGCCCTTTTGTGCAAGGTACTGCCCTTTTGTGCAAGGTACTGCCCTTTTGGGCAAGGTACTGCTCTTTTGGGCAAGGTACTGCCCTTTTGGGCAAGGTACTGCCCTTTTGTGCTTTGTGGTGCCTGCTTTGTGGTGCCATGTCTGAATACTGGAGGGGAGTGCCATCTGAACTTCATGCTTGCTCCTGACCCCATCCAGTGTTCACAACTCCGTGTATCATTTAAAAAAACTCCATGCACATTTGTTCCCATCCTCCACTGCAGTTGTCAGGGGGTCTACTTGTGCACGTCCCCCCATACCTCGTGAGGCGTCTCAAGCAGCATTTCCACATGCTCTCGCCCTCGGGCCCGCTCCTTGTCTTTGGCTGCAACGGCTGGCTATGGGTCGGCCAACCCCCTCCCTCCACCTCCTCATCCGGCTCACCTGGGACCCAGGGTGAAGGGGCTAGTGGGGGTGTTGGTGGCGGTGCTGGTGGAAAACGTGCGGCTGAGACGGCTGTGCGTGTGGAGGAGCGGGAGAGGATTTGTCGAGTGGCGGCGGCGATTCGGGCGCTAGAGAGGGGAGGTTTGGCGGTGGATCCGCCGGCACTGGCGAGAGTGGTGGAGTGGAGTGTTGCGATGGGTGTTTCGGTGGCGGAAATGGGCGATGAGGATTTTGTTGCGACTGTTGTGGAAAAGGAGGTGGAGAAGAGGGAGGCTGATGCAGCGGAAGGGAGCTGAATGTGTCACTGGTGGCAAGATAATGCTATTTTTTTATCTATATTTGCTGGCAAGAGTGCTGTATGGTTATATTTCCTAGCTCCCTCTTTCTAGAATGGCTTGACTGAATAATAATTATGAAGGCTAGTATTGGTAGGTTGTCGGGTTCGCTGTAGCGAGAACTCATTCTGGAAATGTTTTTCGACCTGTGTTGTGTCCTCACACGACGGGGCACTGGGTGTCGTTCGTGATGCGCTTACTGTAAAAGAAACACCGAATTACGCGAGTAAAAGTGATGTTTTTATTGCAACAGAGCCTGTCCACACTACATTCTGTGCATCCGTACGCTGTCGGGCAGCTGGATGAAAGGACAAAACAAACAACCAAACTCGACGGGGCACCATCAACAACCTCACATAGTGACGTCACTCGACAAAGCTAACTCCATATCAGTCTTAGTGTCAACTGAGGTGACGTCATAAATTAGGTCATTCTAATTTAGTTTAGTGGTTATTTTTCGCGGCGTCTCAAAAACCGCTGAACTATAGACGCGCAAACCCCGTGTTACCGCAATTAACTTACCTTTCTGCTGTCCTGATTATATCAACCTCCAATAATAGCCTTTATTTTTATCATTTACATCCAAGCTCATGTCTTACCTTACTCTGACACCAATGCAAGTCACGTTCCGCATTTTAAGGCGCATATGACGGTTTGGGTGAACGCATGGAAGTAGCATTTCACCCCGCACACTTGACTTCTCGACCGCATCAACCAGCATTAGTACTCGCCGCAGAACCCGCCGCAATGGACGCGTTCGCGTCCGAGGATCGTTACAATGAGTACTCTTTGCAAACTGACTATAACGAGTATGGAGCGCGCGGCGCGATGGGGGATGCTTCCCAAGAGCATGGGCATGCTGGGTTTCACGATGAGTACGCGTACGACGGTAACGATTACGATAATTCAGGCTATGATAATCCTGCTGAGGAGCTGTACGGTGATCATCATGACACGTGGCACGAGCAACCGCAGACGCAGCAACAACAACAGCACCAGCCGCAATACCAGCAACAGCAGCAGCAGCAGCAGCAGCAGCAGAAAGGAAGGAAGGTCAAAGTAAAGGCGTCAACGCAGCAAGCTGTTTCACGGAGCAGAAGCACCGAGGAAACTATAAGAGGGGGGCCCGGTGAAAGGTACAAGGAGAGGGGACGGGGTCGACACAGGGATAGTTATAACGACATGGAGTATATAAGAGACGAGGAGAGCGGAGAGGCGGAGGAGGAGGGAGACGACGTAGGAGGAGAGGAGTTCAATAACGGGGATGGCAGGCTTCGGGTGATTACTAGCAGTGAAGTCTGTAACGCGGATAACAGCTGTGCAATTGTGGGAGAGGTTCTGGATCCGATAGAAGACGTTCCGAAGCCTAATAACGAGTGGGACGACATTCCGTTGGGTTACTCTATCTCCACGCCGGTGGGAAACTACCCTAACCAACATCCGGATGCGCTAAGACAGAGCATCTTCAAACGAGGACGTGGTGTACAGGTCTTGAACGAGAAACAGTTAGAAGAGCATAAGCAGCGGCAGGAACAGCAGCAGGAGCAGCAGCAGGGAGGGGGTTTAGCAGGGGAGGAGCATTTAGATCCGTGGCTGAGAGGGCCTGTAAGAAAGGTTAACGCGTGGTTTGAAACAGCAGCAGTAGTGGATCCTAACGTTGTTCCTCCTCTTCCTCTCCCTGCTCCTGCTGCTCCTGTCGCTCCTGCTGCTCCTGTCGCTCCTGCTGCTGCTGCTGCTGCTGCTGGCGGTGGTGGTGGTGGTGGTGCTGCTGCTGCTGCTGCTGCTGTTTCCGCATATAATGAAGGTGTTAATATTGAGAGGAATGATGCTCTTGCTGACCTCAGCAAGGGTATGGACGGTGGAGATGCGATCTGGGAGCAGCAGGAAGGTGAGTGTGACTACGAATTCCGTGACAGAAACGAGGGTCAGGCAGGGATGCGTGAGGCTGGGAAGCGAGGGTCTAGAGGGGGGAGTGGAGGTGAGGGAAGTGCTTATAAAGGGCGGGACGATGGCGATTTGTTCAGTGGGGATGGTAGGGATGGGGAGGGATGGGAAGTGGTGGAGGAGGGGCAGGAGGAAGAGGAGGGAGAGGAAGATGTGGGAAGGGAGAAGGGCGGAGGAGAGGAGGAGGAGGAGGAAGAAGAAGAGGAAGTGGGGGGAAGGAGAAGGGCCGGGGATTCAAAAGACGGTTCTTTTGAAAGTGGCGGAGTGTACTGTGGTGCTGTTTATAACGAGCACGACGAGGATGCTTATGGCGGATATGGCGGGCAGGGGTTGGAGGTGGATAGGAGAGGTGGGAGTAGGGGGTTTGGGATAGTTGGAGAGGAGGGAGAGGAGGAGGAGCAAGAGGAGGAGGAGGAGGAGGAGGAGGAGGAGGAGGAGGAGGAGGAGGAGGAGGAGGAGGAGGAGGAGGAGGAGGAGGAGGAAGGGGAGGAGGATTTTAAACAGCAAAGACAGGCTCAGAAGGAGGCTGATTTCCAAGGGTATTCACAGGGGCAGGCACAAGGGACCACACAGGGGCGTGCACAGGGGACCACACAGGGGACCACACAGGGGACCACACAGGGGAGCACACAGGGGAGCACACAGGGGACCACACAGGGGCGTGCGCAGGTATCAGCGCGTGATGGGATGCGGGCGGTGGGAGGGGGAGGGGAGGATGAGAAGGCACGATGGGCGGAGAAGTGTGCTTCGCGGTTGAAGGAATGGGAGAGAGAGGAGGATGAGGATGATGATGAGGACGGCGTGGGGGAGGGGAGAGGGGAGAGGGGAGAGGGGGAAGAGGAGGAAGAGGAGGAAGAAGGGGAAGAGAAGGGGAAAGGGTATGCGGACATGTATGGTGAAGATTACCGGTCTAGTCGAGATGGAGAGGGGGTATGGAGATGGGGATAGGGATTATGGGGCGGAGGAGTATGGGAAGGGAGAGCATGGAGAAGGGGGGTATGGAGAGGGGGAGTATGGTCAGGGGGAGCATAGAGCAGGGGGTTATGGAGAGGGGGGGTATGCAGAGGGGGAGTATGGAGAGGGACAGTATGGCAGGGACGGGTATGCGAGTGGAGAGGGTGCAGGAGCTTGGCAGGAGGAGCATGTAAGGGAGGAGCATGTAAGGGAGGGCGCAGGAGGACATGTGGGAGGGCAGATGGATGATATGTACGGGTCGTGTGATGTGAGTGGGGCAGCATATGGAAACGGGTCTGGTCGGTATTCGTCGCACGGGGAGGGGTCTGATCGATACTTATCGCATGGGGAGGGGTCTGATCGATACTTATCGCATGGGGAGGGGTCTGATCGATACTTATCGCATGGGGAGGGGTCTGATCGATACTTATCGCATGGGGAGGGGTCTGATCGATACTTATCGCATGGGGAGGGGTCCGGTCGTTACTCGTCTCACCTGGACGGGGAGGAGGAGGAAGAAGAGGAGAGGGGGCAAGGGGAGGAGGAAGAGGAGGAAGGGCACGACGAGGAGGAGCAAGAGTGTGATGAGTCACAGGTGGCTGGTGCGGTAACCGCCCGAGCCATCGCTCTGGTTCCCACTGGGGGTGGTTGGTCAGATGACGCAAGGGGATTGGATTTGCCTGCGCCCTCTCCCTCCACTCCCCTCGCTCGCCCTGCTGCCCGTGCCACGGCCCCTGCTACTCTCCAATACACTGCTGCTGCTTCTGCTGCCGCTGCTGGTACTGGTGCTGGTGCCAGTGGTGCTGCTGCTGTTGCTGCTGCTGCTGTCGGTGGGAAGAAGGTGGGTAAGGGTCAGAGAATACTAGGTCGGGTTGGTTCTGGTTCTGGTGGGGATGGTGTCGGCAGTGGAGGAGAGAGTGATAATAACAGTGCAAGGGGTAGAATGAGAGGTGGAGCAGGGAGGGGGATAGGTGGAGGACGTGGAAGGGGAGGGGGAGGGGGTGTGGGGCGGACGCGGTTGGGGCAACGTTCGGATGATGAGGGATGGGGGGGCGAGAAGTCAGGGGTGGGAGGACGAGCAGAGGAGGGTGGGAGCATGGGGGAAGGGGGCGGATGGGGGGAGGGTGGGGCGGTGGGAGAGGGGGACGCATGGGGTGAGGGTGTGGGGTATGGTCAGTATGGGTACCAGCAGCATCAGCAGCAGCAGCAGCAACAGCAGCAGCAGCAGCAGCAGCAGCAGCAGCAGCAGCAGCAGCAGCAGCAGCAGCAGCAGCAGCAGCAGCAGCAGCAGCAGCAGCAGCAGCAGCAGCAGCAGCAGCAGCAGCAGCAGCAGCAGCAGCAGCAGCAGCAGCAGCAGCAGCAGCAGCAGCAGCAGCAACAGCAGCAGCAGCAGCAGCAGCAGCAGCAGGGGTTGGGATTACAGGGAGCAGCAGCAGGCAATGGCAGTGGCGGCGAGTGGCATGAGCACGACTTCCAACCCAGACACGACGCAGACACTGGGTTAGGGGATGCGTATGGGCATGGGTATGGCAACAGCGTTGATCAAGACACTGGGTTTGGGGATGGGTATGAGAACAAGCACATGCCAGATGGGTATGGAATTGATACCGGGGATGGGTTTGGAGATGAGTATGGGGATGGGTATGGAAATGACCACCACCCTCACTCCCAGCAGCTTTACTCACAGCAGCAGCAGCAGCAGCAGCTGCAGTCGTACGTGCAGGGCCAGCAGCAGGACTCTCAACAACACTACTCCCAACAGTATTACTCGCAGCAGCAGCAGCAGCAGCAGCAGCAGCAGCAGCAGCAGCAGCAGCAGCAGCAGCAGCAGCAGCAGCAGCAGCAGCAGCAGCAGCAGCAGCAGCAGCAGCAGCAGCAGCAGCAGCAGCAACAACAGTATGTAGATGCTTTCAATTCGTACTCCCAGCCCTCTGACCCCTCAACCTCTTTCTCCCAGCAGTCTGTTGATCCGCGGCAGCAGCAGCAGCAGCAGCAGCAGCAGCCGTATACCCAAGATCCGCAGCACGGGTATTCTCAGGGATCGCAGCCCTACTATCACCCGCAGCAGCAGCAGCCATACGGCCCGCAGCAAACCCCACCCATGCAAAGCCCAGGCCCATACTTTGACCACCACGCCGATCCACCCCAAGATAGCTTCCCCCCTGCCCAGTCGTACGGGCAGGGTAGCATGCCCGCTGTAACACCTCGGCGGGCAGGTAAAAAGTCTATCCAGTTCCAATCCGTGCCTGGAGATAGTTTTGGGCAGCAGGAGGAGGTTTATTGCCCTCCTATCACTCCTGGTCGTGCTGCGGGTGGGAGTGGAGGAAGAGGAGGGAAAGGGAGTGGGCAGGGAGGGAGGCTGAGTGGAGACGAAGGAAGGGGAAATTACCCACAGCAGCAGCAACAGCTGCAGCAGCAGCAGCAGCAGCAGCAGCAGCAGCAGCAGCAGCAGCAGCAGCAGCAGCAGCAGCAGCAGCAGCAGCAGCAGCAGCAGCAGCAGCAGCAGCAGCAGCAGCAGCAGCAACAGGTGGTTTCAGCAGCAGCAGTAGCAGCAGCACAACAACAGCAACAACTACAGTATGCTCCCACTACCCCTGGACGCTTGAAAAAGCCTGTGGGGGGGATTCATCAGCCAATCACGCCGCGACACGTGGCTGCTAGAGGTGGAGCGAGTGGTGGGGGTGGTGAAGTGAGATTCGATCCTGTCACACCGAGATATGATCCTGTCACTCCAAGATACGATCCTGTAACTCCTAGATACGATCCTGTCACTCCGAGACGAACGAAACAACCGAATCAGCAGTACCCTCAGACTTATCAGCAGCAGCAGCAGCAGCAGCAAAACCAGCAGTACGGTTATCAGCAGGAGGAAGCACCAGCAGCAGCAGCAGCAGCAGCAGCAGCAGCAGCAGCAGCAGCAGCAGCAGCAGCAGCAGCAGCAGCAGCAGCAGCAGCAGCAGCAGCAGCAGCAGCAGCAGCAGCAGCAGCAGCAGCAGCAGCAGCAGCAGCAACAGGAGAGGCGGTTACCAGGCGCAAGCAGCGTGTGGCCTTTGACGACCAGGTCGAGGAAGCTTATATCGAGGACGGGGATGTGCAGACCAATGTGAGATCCCTTAGTATGAAAAGAGGCGAGAATGCGAAGGGAGTGGGGGGAGAGAAACAAAAAGCGGGTGGGGGAGGAGTAGGGGCGATGGGGAAGAGCGGACAAGCACAGGGGGGGCGGGAGGAGAGGAGGGGGCGGATACAGAGGCCAATGGAGGATGGGGAGGAGAGGAGGGGAAGGCTACAGAGACCAATAGAGGATGGGGAGGACAGGAGAGGGCGGCTTCAGAGGCCTATGGAGGATGGGGAGGAGGGAGGGAGGGGGAAGAGGTATGGGGGTGATGTTGCTCGGACTCCCAGGAAAGGGGGGGAGGGCAGAGGAGACGGGAGAGGAGGGGAATGGAGAGGGGGAGATGGGCGAGCGGGGGAAAGGGATGGGCGGAAAGGGGAGGGAGTGGAGGGGTATGGTGGTCTGGCTCTAAAGAGGCAGCTGAGTTTGAAGCTTGCTGTTCCTTCTACTCCACGGGGAGAGGGTGGGGGGGTTGGCGGCGGGCCGAAGAGTGTGAGAGGACGCAGTAAGAGCGGCGCGTGGGAGATGGAAGAAGGCGGGAGGAGGAGAGGAGGAGGAGGGTCAGGAGGGGGGGGAGGAGGGGGTTGGGGAGTGGAAGGAGCGAGCGGCGGGAGTGGCGGAGGGAGTGGAAGGAGGGATCGGTTTGACGAGTTTGGGGACTCGTATGGGTCCGGTGGGATGCAGAGTGGTGGGATCCAATACGGTGGGATGCAGGGGTCAGGAGGAGGGGGGCGAGAGAGAAGGTCACGAGGAGCAGGAGAAATGGTTCCCAAGACACCCAGGGATCAAAATCCCAAGACCCCACGGGGTACGGCTGGTGGTGGTGGTGGTGGGGTTGATAGTGGGTTTTTGCGAACCCGAACGATGGATAGAGGAGAGGGGAAGTCGGGTGACAAGGGGGACAAGAGGAGCTCTGAAAGAGGAGGGTTTGGGCAGGGGAGGACAGGAAGCAAGGAGGTGAGGGAGCGAGGGGAAAGAGGGGAAAGAGGGGAAAGAGGGGAAAGAGGGGAAAGAAAGAGGGGAAAGAGGGGAAAGAGGGGAAAGAGGGGAAAGAGGGGAAAGAGGGGAAAGAGGGGAAAGAGGGGAAAGAGGGGAAAGAGGGGAAAGAGGGGAAAGGAGGGGAAAGAGGGGAAAGAGGGGAAAGAGGGGAAAGAGGGGAAAGAGGGGAAAGAGGGGAAAGAGGGGAAAGAGGGAAAGAGGGGAAAGAGGGGAAAGAGGGAAAGAGGGGAAAGAGGGGAAAGAGGAAAGAGGGGAAAGAGGGGAAAGAGGGGAAAGAGGGGAAAGAGGGGAAAGAGGGGAAAGAGGGGAAAGAGGGGAAAGAGGGGAAAGAGGGGAAAGAGGGGAAGAGGAAAGAGGGGAAAGAGGGGAAAGAGGGGAAAGAGGGGAAAGAGGGGAAAGAGGGGAAAGAGGGGAAAGAGGGGAAAGAGGGGAAAGAGGGGAAAGAGGGGAAAGAGGGGAAAGAGGGGAAAGAGGGGAAAGAGGGAAAGAGGGGAAAGAGGGGAAAGAGGGAAAGAGGGGAAAGAGGGGAAAGAGGGGAAAGAGGGAAAGAGGGGAAAGAGGGGAAAGAGGGGAAAGAGGGGAAAGAGGGGAAAGAGGGGAAAGAGGGGAAAGAGGGGAAAGAGGGGAAAGAGGGGAAAGAGGGGAAAGAGGGGAAAGAGGGGAAAGAGGGGAAAGAGGGGAAAGAGGGGAAGAGGGGAAGAGGGGAAAGAGGGGAAAGAGGGGACATAGGGGAAAGAGGGGAAAGAGAGTGGGTCAGAAGAGGGAAGAGGGGAAAGAGGGGAAAGAGGGGAAAGAGGGGAAAGAGGGGAAAAGAGGGAAAGAGGGGGAAAGAGGGGAAAGAGGGGAAAGAGGGGAAAGAGGGGAAAGAGGGGAAGAGGGGAAGAGGAAAGAGGGGGAACGAGGGGAAAGAGGGAAAGAGGGGAAAGAGGGGAAAGAGGGGAAAGAGGGGAAAGAGGGGAAAGAGGGGAAAGAGGGGAAAGAGGGTAAAGAGGGGAAAGAGGGGAAAGAGGGGAAAGAGGGGAAAAGAGGGGAAAGAGGGGAAGAGGAAAGAGGAAAGAGGGGAAAGAGGGGAAAGAGGAGAGGGGAAAGAGGGGAAAGAGGGGAAAGAGGGGAAAGAGGGGAAAGAGGGGAAAGAGGGGAAAGAGGGGAAAGAGGGGAAAGAGGGGAAAGAGGGGAAAGAGGGGAAAGAGGGAAGAGGGGAAAGAGGGGAAAGAGGGGAAAGAGGGGAAAGAGGGGAAAGAGGGGAAAGAGGGGAAAGAGGGGAAAGAGGGGAAAGAGGGAAAGAGGGGAAAGAGGGGAAAGAGGGGAAAGAGGGGAAAGAGGGGAAAGAGGGGAAAGAGGGGAAAGAGGGGAAAGAGGGGAAAGAGGGGAAAGAGGGGAAAGAGGGGAAAGAGGGGAAAGAGGGGAAAGAGGGGAAAGAGGGGAAAGAGGGAAAGAGGGGAAAGAGGGGAAAGGAGGGGAAAGAGGGGAAAGAGGGGAAAGAGGGGAAAGAGGGGAAAGAGGGGAAAGAGGGGAAAGAGGGGAAAGAGGGGAAAGAGGGGAAAGAGGGGAAAGAGGGGAAAGAGGGGAAAGAGGGGAAAGAGGGGAAAGAGGGGAAAGAGGGGAAAGAGGGGAAAGAGGGGAAAGAGGGGAAAGAGGGGAAAGAGGGGGAAAGAGGGGAAAGAGGGGAAAGAGGGGAAAGAGGGGAAAGAGGGGAAAGAGGGGAAAGAGGGGAAAGAGGGGAAAGAGGGGAAAGAGGGGAAAGAGGGGAAAGAGGGGAAAGAGGGGAAAGAGGGGAAAGAGGGGAAAGAGGGGAAAGAGGGGAAAGAGGGGAAAGAGGGGAAAGAGGGGAAAGAGGGGAAAGAGGGGAAAGAGGGGAAAGAGGGGAAAGAGGGGAAAGAGGGGAAAGAGGGGAAAGAGGGGAAAGAGGGGAAAGAGGGGAAAGAGGGGAAAGAGGGGAAAGAGGGGAAAGAGGGGAAAGAGGGGAAAGAGGGGAAAGAGGGGAAAGAGGGGAAAGAGGGGAAAGAGGGGAAAGAGGGGAAAGAGGGGAAAGAGGGGAAAGAGGGGAAAGAGGGGAAAGAGGGGAAAGAGGGGAAAGAGGGGAAAGAGGGGAAAGAGGGGAAAGAGGGGAAAGAGGGGAAAGAGGGGAAAGAGGGAAAGAGGGGAAAGAGGGGAAAGAGGGGAAAGAGGGGAAAGAGGGGAAAGAGGGAAAGAGGGGAAAGAGGGGAAAGAGGGGAAAGAGGGGAAAGAGGGGAAAGAGGGGAAAGAGGGGAAAGAGGGGAAAGAGGGGAAAGAGGGGAAAGAGGGGAAAGAGGGGAAAGAGGGGAAAGAGGGGAAAGAGGGGAAAGAGGGGAAAGAGGGGAAAGAGGGGAAAGAGGGGAAAGAGGGGAAAGAGGGGAAAGAGGGGAAAGAGGGGAAAGAGGGGAAAGAGGGGAAAGAGGGGAAAGAGGGGAAAGAGGGGAAAGAGGGGAAAGAGGGGAAAGAGGGGAAAGAGGGGAAAGAGGGGAAAGAGGGGAAAGAGGGGAAAGAGGGGAAAGAGGGGAAAGAGGGGAAAGAGGGGAAAGAGGGGAAAGAGGGGAAAGAGGGGAAAGAGGGGAAAGAGGGGAAAGAGGGGAAAGAGGGGAAAGAGGGAAAGAGGGGAAAGAGGGGAAAGAGGGGAAAGAGGGGAAAGAGGGGAAAGAGGGGAAAGAGGGGAAAGAGGGGAAAGAGGGGAAAGAGGGGAAAGAGGGGAAAGAGGGGAAAGAGGGGAAAGAGGGGAAAGAGGGGAAAGAGGGGAAAGAGGAGGGGAAAGAGGGGAAAGAGGGGAAAGAGGGGAAAGAGGGGAAGAGGGGAAAGAGGGGAAAGAGGGGAAAGAGGGGAAAGAGGGGAAAGAGGGGAAAGAGGGGAAAGAGGGGAAGAGGGGAAAGAGGGAAAGAGGGGAAAGAGGGGAAAGAGGGGAAAGAGGGGAAAGAGGGGAAAGAGGGGAAAGAGGGGAAAGAGGGGAAAGAGGGGAAAGAGGGGAAAGAGGGGAAAGAGGGGAAAGAGGGGAAAGAGGGGAAAGAGGGGAAAGAGGGGAAAGAGGGGAAAGAGGGGAAAGAGGGGAAAGAGGGGAAAGAGGGGAAAGAGGGGAAAGAGGGGAAAGAGGGGAAAGAGGGGAAAGAGGGAAAGGGTGCAGCGGGAGCAGCGAGGAGGATAGAGGTGACAAAGAGCATGTCGAGTAAGGACATTGGAAAGGGTGGCGGCACGGGGAGAGAAGTTAGCAAGAGCACGAGCTTTTCGCTCAAGGCAGCTTTGATTGGGAGGGATTCGAAAGAGGGGAAGGGAGGGAAGGAGAAGGAGGGGAAGGAGAAGGAGAAAGAGAAAGGGAGGGAGAAGGAGAGGGAGGGAAAAGATGGTGGGTGGGCAAGGAGTCGAACGATGGATAATACCGAAGTGAAGATGCAGCGGCAGCTGAGCTACAAGAGGGGACCGTTTTGAAACAGCTGTAGTCTATTGAGGCGCCTCAGAAGGTGAGAGATGGTGGGTGGACGAGGAGTCAAACGATGGATAATTCCGAGGTGAAGATGCAGCGGCAGCTGAGCTATAAGAGGGGGCCGTTTTGATGTGACTGTATTGATGGTGATTCTGAAATACGGTATGGATTTGAGAAAAGAGGAGGATTGTTTGTATTGAAGCAGGAAGGAACAACTCAAAACTGAAAGCACGCCTACAAGCAGGGGTCTTCAGTGTGTACTTGCCGCAATAATGTGGCTCCACGGTGGGAGCATTTTTGCCCAATTCCAAGGATAGTGGACTAACATGCAGCTAATGAGGTACCAGAAGATTGGAGGGATGAGATCCAGCTTGACTCTAACACTACAATCAAAGGGATACCGTATTCTCCCGGACAAAACACCCCCCCGTAATTGTACACCCCCGGGTAGCTTGTGCAGGGTGGGTGTTATGATAGACCTCGTTTCTACTATACCCCCCTTTTTTGCTGATTTTCTATAACACCCCCCTTTTCTTACGAATTCGTTATAATAGTGGTTAACGAGTAGCTGCAATATTGAAGAATATCGCGAAAATTTCTCCCTAGATGAAATTTCGCGGTACATTCACTTACAATCTACCGAGATTTCCCCCCTCGCACTACTTCGCTGTGACCACGTGCAGGCGAATCTTCCGCTGCAAGTGGCAAGAGAGGTGCCACATGGCATTTTCGTGGGGGTGATGAAGCTCGTGGCCGAAACCCACATTCGCGCCTCAGACAGTGATGTTAAAATGAAAATCAAAACACCCACATTGTCTAATTAAATAAACACTAACACTAAAATATACCATATGTAAAGACCCGGGTATTATGTATTTTTTTCCTATGAGGAGACCCCCCCCATTTTTTCCCTGTATTTTTAGCTATACCCTAGGGTGCTACGGTATGTCCGGGAGAATACGGTACATGTGTAATGCATTTCCTTCTCATCAACAATCCTTCATTTGATTTTCTATGTTTTTGCTGAACCCACTAACACTTTTGTAAGGAAATTTCATTTTCCTTACTTCGCGCCCCTGCTTACCGCGTACAAGACCATTCCCGCCATCGGCACCCATTCCCGCGACACTCGCCTCGAATACGACTCCCGCCACTGTTCACGATGCGACCCAACCTCACGGTTCGGTTGGTAACCCGCGCTCCGGACCAGGGCCTATTTTATCAGTGTAAATCACACTGCTATACTGATGAGAAGGGTGAAATTTAAGGCCTACACTGATGTGTTTGGGTATTTTATTAGAAAATTAGTGTTACACTGATTTGACAGTGAAACGATTTAGGCCACACTGATGCTCTGGGGTAAATTTTCCCTTAGCGAAGATTACCCTTAAGGGCGTACAGGGCACCCCCCCCTCGAAACTCTACTCATCGAGACGAAGTTTCCTAGAAATTTCGTAACGATACACTCAATTTCGTAATGATGTACTACGACGTCAGCACGTGAGTACTGACAACCGACACCGCGTCACTCC